GGCAGAGAGCCGTGACAGGATCGAGAGGTGAGCGAACGCCGCTATGTGTTCGCTCACCTCCTGATCTACTGAGCCGACCTGTGACAGTCGCATTGTCACAGGTCGGCTAGAACTATGAGGATGAGTGAAAAGCACTCACCTCATAGTTCTCCTTTAACTATTAACAACAATGTATCTTATTTGTCCATCAATCGTCTGTAGATCCTGAAATCCTCTCTGAATACATGCTGACACTGTCCTTCCTTCTGGAGGGGGGCTACTTTTGTTCCCCATGGTCCCTGTGTGTGTTGTAAAGTAGCCACCGCTCCAAACTCGCTCCTGTGATGAACTACAATCTCACGTTTTGTTTAATCATTTGTTTTGAGATTGTAGTCCATCACAGGACCGAGTTTGGAGCGGCGGCTACTTTACAACACACACAGGGACCATGGGGAACAAAAGTAGCCCCCCTCCAGAAGGAAGGACAGTGTCCGCATGAATTCAGAGAAGATTTGAGGATCTACAGCTGAGTGATGCATAAATAAGATACATTTTTGTTAACAGTTAGGGTACCTGAATGTATTTTTAAGATTTAACACCTGAGTTTAGTGGACATTAATGGGACTAGTGTTATTTTGATGCCCTCAATCTACTGACATGCAGATTCAAAGTCCTAATTCAAGAGCATCTCTGGATGCTGCATTCTGCTTTCTTACCTCTCTGGGTGGCTGAGACTTTTGTTGTCTTGATACTTAGGGGTTAATTTATAAATATGGCCACTAGATGGCGCTGAGGGGCATAGGGAATTCCATAGAAGTGTGATTTGGTGCAGCTGCTGCAATGCCACATAGAACTTGTCTTATAACTTTGATAATTTGGTGCAAAAATGCACCAATATTTCCACCACAAAACTGATGTGTTTATATGTGAAGCTTGGTGTTTGACCTTCTGGAAGCCATTGTTTGTATTTTATTTATCTTCCTGCGTTTGTCTTGGAAGCCAGTATCCAGGGGGACGCTGCAGGAGACGATGGAGAGACAAAGGTGAAGTTTCCCTGTCCGCTGGCAATGTGGGAGTTAGGACATTGTGACCCAAAGAGATGTACAGGCCGGAAACTGGTGCGGAAAGGTCTTGTCAGGACCCTCCGAATAAACCAAAGGTTCAACGGCATCATCCTGAGTCCTATGGGGACATTGTGTGTCACTCCCGCTGACAAGTATGTGAGACTTTCAAATTTTATTTTGTCAAAAAGGTTTTATTGTTCTAATAATTATTATTAACTTATTTATGTATTATGTTTTATTAAGTCATAGAAATACTGTAGATATGCAATCAAATAGACCTCATAGTAACGACCTAATTTTTACCTCCACTTTCCTGTTACGGTGTCCTAGTATGATTGTGCCGGTCATTAGTCACAAGTGTTAGACCCATTGCTGTCGGAAATCATTATTCAGTGACAGAACTGGTCAGACACGCCCCCTCCCTTTCTCTGCAATACAAGTCTGTGTGAGGAGTGTGGCTGCCACTCAGCAATGCCAGCACAGAGCACTGGAGTGTGAGAGCAAGAAACAGCATTTTTAGTGAAAGAAAACGGAATATTAGGACATTTTCAAGCAAAAATCAGCCACAAAATATAATATGCATGTTACGGGACTGAATGAAGGATGATAATTTTTGCCATAGTCGCTATAATTTTCAGCAATATGATTTGAAAGTAACAGTAACATGGCGGGAATAATTATCTTTAGGGATGCACCGATACTGGGTTTTTGGTATCGAGTACAAGTACCAATATTTTGTTTGTGCCCCGATTTATCAGGAAGCCGGGTGGCTGATCATGGCCCACCTCTATCGAAGGAACACCAGCTTCACTTCCTGAGGCTGCCTGGCTTCCTGATTAATCAGGAAGCTGGGCGGTGGGTCATGATCAGCCACCCGGCTTCCTGATTGGTTACAAAGCCAGGCTGCCAAGTAACAAGTGAAGCCGGCTTCCTAGCCAATCAGGAAGCTGGGAGGCAGGTTATAACCCGCTGCCCGGCTTCCTGATTGGAAAGGAAGCCGGCTCCATGTTCCTCTGCACTGCCAGTTAGAGGGAGATTTACCTCTGACCTGAAGTTCCAGTATCGGAGCATTTTTGCTACTACAAGTAGAAGTCCAAATACTCTATCTATCCCTAATTATTTTTATGGCAAAAAACATGTTCTAGCTCAGTGAATTGAGCCTGTAATGTGGTCATGACTGGCCTGTGTATGTGGAGCAGATAGCTATACCACTGTTCACACTGAGGAATATCTGCAGCTCAGCCTATTTTGCTTGTGAACACTTAGGGTTCTATTTATAAACTATTTGTATAGCCATTCGCCCTGTGAATCTCTGTGAACGTACATTATGTGCGAATAGTAGCAAAAACTAACGTTCTTAGTATATTTTCTATTCCAGTCAAATGAATTGTAATACTGCATTATGGCCACCAGATGGGGCTGAGGAGCATTACACATACATTTTGATTTCCTTGCTCAGCTCCATCAAAGGGCCACATTGCAGTTTTACATTATATCACATTCCAACTGAATAGAAAGTATATCAAGACTGTTCATTTTTGCCTCCATTCACACGTACTGACACAGGGAAAATGGCTCTGCATATTGTTTATACAGTGACCCCTTAATTATTTCCTAATCTTTAGAAATATCGTACATTAAAACAGAGATGTCCAAATCCCAGGAGCTCCGTGTGCTCCTTACAAATGACAGCTGGCTTTTCTCTAGTCTAGTCTTGGAGCTCAAAAGTATCGGTACTCCTACTTGTACCGAGTACTGTACTTGGTATCTGTGCAACCCTAGAAATTGTCTATTCAATCAGTCCCCTTGGGAGTACTTCATATTGTATTGCCATTCTAAATGATCTACCAGTAATGTCACTACAATGAGCAGTTTACCTTCCATCTTTACACTTCTTTAATGTAACCTGGTTGTTTTATGTTTTTCTCAGACAGATTGTTGCAGACTGTGGTGTAGCTGTCATTGACTGCTCCTGGGCTAAGCTGGATGACACACCATTCTCCAAGATGAAAGGAAGCCATCCTCGGTTGTTGCCATATCTGGTTGCTGCAAACCCGGTGAACTATGGAAGGCCTTGCAAACTGTCCTGCGTAGAAGCTTTTGCTGCGATATTCTGTATTGTTGGTAAGTGTGCATAAAGCAAAGCTGCAGGAAGCCCAAAAAAGTACAGCTGATGTATTTTGGAATATATTAACAACAAAAGCAAAAGCTGTTCTCATCTAGAAAATCACATACAATACAGCTGGACTAGCATTTTATCCCCATATTATTACCTTTTATTGGCCTCAACCTCTGCCAAGTTAGCTTGCTACAAAGTGGCAATACTGGCACTGGTTTAGGGGAGGGGTTTTCGGGAAACATGCTCCACCCACTACATAGACTGTAAGTGTAACGTTGCCATGGTTGGGAGATGGGAAAATTCCATTGGCTGCACTGTTCTTATCCTCATTGGCTTCTTTACACGGACGTTGTTTCCCTGCTCCCATGCATGGGATGTCAATTGGAAAGTACAAGTCAATTATAAGGACAAAGCTTTGGTATTTACAGATAAGAAACATCATTTAGAACATACAGTAACTGAGTATGAGAAATATAAATGTCAGTGTGGCTGCGGATCAGCTTTAAATATACCCTTCACCAAAATGTGACCATTGAATTTTGCATTGTTGGTGTCAGTTTGATTTCACATTTAGGCTGATGTCTTTTAGACACTCTATTGCCAAGATATCTTCATCAGAATTGCTGATCCTCTTCAGCTATCACAGTGATTGCAAAGTCAGATGACGGTGTCTAGGTTTGCACCGATACCGTTTTTTTGGTATCGAGTACCGATATTTTGCTGTCGGCACTCGCTGATACCGAGTACCAATACCAGTGCTTCCGCTGGCGGGGAGCCGGCTTCCTGATTTCCTGGGAAGTTGGCTCCATGTTTGGCCGGCTCAATGCTGATTGGCAGGGAAACCAGCTTCCCAGCCTATTAGCATTGAGCCGGCTTCCCGGGCAATCAGGAAGCCGGGCAGCGAATAATGACCCACCTCCCGGCTTCCTGATTGGCGAGTACTCGCCCAAATACTTGGTATCAGCACCAATACAGATACTAGTATCGGTATCGATGCATCCCTAATGGTGTCACACCATTTTGATTCTTTATCAAAAATGCTGAATAAACAAATGATTGGAAATAGAAAGAAAGTGACAGCTGGGTCATGGCCGCCAACGTCTATGGCCCACTGGGAGGGTCAGGGACAGCAGCTACTGCAAGAAAGACTTATCACTGGAGATATAGGAGAACTGATGGGTGATTATACCCACTGTGCCCACCCCAGAGAAAAAAGAATCTTATAACTGTCCTGGATTTATGGCTTTGGCTTCTGAATTCCCTAATTTGTCCATTAGTTTATAATGAATTTAATGCGGAAAGTGCGTTGTACAGTTAAAGTCGTCATAGAGCAGAAGGTGTTCACTTGTCTCATTCCATCACATGGAAAATAAGAGGAGTATTCCTCATGTTAGGAAAGGGGGCGGCGTCATGCAAATCAATCCTTTATGTTCTATCGGCCAGATTCATAAAAATAAAATAAAAATGAGCATTTATTATTTTTTTGCATAGGAGCCAGTAAAGCATTGCAACCTCAATCGGGTGCAATGTTCTGGCTTCTGCAGACTCTTCCTCCTGTCTATGTCCGTACTGAATGTGGGACATTCAGTAACATGGACAGGAGGAAGTGTCAGTGGATTCTGCAGTGGCTGATGGGCAGTTCCTCCTGTCAAACGATCTATGAATGGGTGATACAGCTGTGTGGAGAGAGCCACGCGCAGCCGCACCAAATTCAAAAATGTGCACAAGCAATACGAGGAGAAGAACCTATTGATTCAGGTAAGTGGGAGGGGAGCAAGAGGGGTGGTGCAGTCTGACCAGGTTTCTTGTTATACCCTAAATATGAGTGTAACATGAAACATGGGCAGAAAGGTAAATGTAGCCTTTAAGTTTGGAATACAATGCTCTATACTATTAGGCTAGATTTGCATTATACACCAGCCTTTCAGGATGTGCATCTGGCTGATGGGACATGATTGGAATGATTTGCATGGCTCCACCCTCTGTCCTGAAATGAGGAATAATCCTCTTACCTTTGGGATATGTGATGGAATGAGACAAGTGAATACCTTCTGATCTAAGAAGGCTTTTCTGTGCTGATTTTATTGGTCCTCTTTCCCATAACCTGTATGGTTATATACTGTCTCAAGAGGAAGGTTCCTAATGGCTTGTATTCGGAATCATGGGTCGGTCACTTTTGAAAAGAGCTGATGTAATGTGCAGACATTCAGACGCACTGTATGTGACAAGGCGCAGAGCCGAGTGCAGAAGCTCATAGCAAGCAGTCATCTTTTAACTTCTCCGAGCTGACGAAAGGTGAAATCGCATTAGCTGCTAAGAAAAGCACACGATTGTTCCCATAGACTTCAATGGGAAACTTTGTGCGACAAAAAGCTCAGGTGTGAACAGGGGCCATAGAAATGAATGGGAGGGCTTTGTCAGGCTTAGCTTTGAGCGACAGAACGCCAAGGTATGAATGGAGCCTTATAGTATGTAGCCGGAGGATGTGACTCATAGGTGTTGGGATGGATCTGGATATAGAAAGCTACGGGGTAAATCATTTCATCTGACTCCACTAATGGGTGTGCTCAGCATTTCGCATGCACCGTATACTGGTGACATGGACACAGAACAAGTTAGTTAATATTTCCTGATTGCTTTTTGGTGGGTGACACCCTACCATACTGTACTGGTGTTGTGGCAATTGCAGCATTGTGTGCATTTGAAGAGCAACTAGATACAACAGGGGAAATCTAACACTGGCCTAATAGTGCCATCCAGAAATAACTGTGATGAGCTGTATTCATCGGATCGAGTTATATCACATCCAATACAGACAGTCTGGGAAGGTTCTCACTCCTCCAGGTCCTCCAGGTCATGGTATATCTGTAAAAATTCATCAAGGCAGCTGGACTTGCTGTATTTTTCTTGAAGACGTTTCGCTTGTCATCTGACCAGCTTTCTCAGAAAGCTAATCGGATGAGCAGCAAAACGTCTGATGATGATGAATTGTTTACAGATACAATACAGACAGATTTCCCAGGCTTTTCACAAGACCTCTGATTGGCAGCTTACTGTAACATGATTCTCAAATGTACACCCTTCTGTTGCTGCAGAGGTGAATGCCAGGATAAGAGACGCTCTGCAGCTGTCCTCCCTGACTGTGTAAAAGCAAAATATTCTTGTTTTAATTAAAGAACATTTATGGTCAAAAAGTCAAATTAAATATACTTCTATATTGAATTTTCATACGTTCTCTCCCGCTTCTCATAACCAGATTCACCTAGAAGTCTGTACATTTACTTATTGAAGATGCCCATAGGATGAACTTCCTCAATGCACTGACACAATTTCACTCGACCCTGTGAATATTCACAGAGCCTTCCTTCTGAACTACAACTCAATGTCTGAACAAGGTAACATTATCATTGCTTGCTGGAAGCAATGCATGATGGGATATGTAGTCTTGAGAAATCAAGATTGCATCACATCAAGCAGCAGAGAAAGAGACACAAAGCACACTGGGAATCCAGGAAGTTGATGAAAGTGATGGGCAGAAGGAAGGCAGCACTCACTACATGAAAGGGATTATTTTCAGTAAGCTTTAATTGTATTATGAAAGACAACTCCAGTATGTATTCCTATTACAATGGTGATCTTATACCAGGATAGAATATGCCGGGACTTTAGGAATCCTTTAATGATACATTTCAATCTCTATCTCTATTTAGGATTTCCAGATTTGGCCACAATTGTGCTGAGGAAGTTTAAATGGGGGAAAGTGTTCCTGGAGCTGAATAAAGATCTGCTGGAGAAGTACAGTCAATGCCAGAACGTGGAGGAAGTGAAGAAGGTGGAAGAAGAGTACCTGTCTGGGGCTCAGGATAAAGATGAAGAAGAAATAGGTGTTTTCAGCGTGCTGTCTTACCAAAGAATTGCATGATGTAAAACCTGATCCCTACATCGCGACTGTGCATTGCTGTACCCTTTATTTCCCAATAAGCTAAGGGAACGCACGTGCGTTGCAGCACATGGTAATGCAGTAATATGCGTTGTGGAGCACTGCATTGCAAAAAATAGTGCGTATGAGTTTTTCTGGGACGATCTGGTGCGCTGTCAGCTTGCTCATTTAATTAGGCTGCCTTAACGCAATACACGTTAATGCAAAGTACCAAGACGCCAGGGTTTGAACGGGCCTTTAACCTGAACTAGGCAAAGTAACCGGTTCACCTCACAGCATAATCCAAAAGGAAGTCATATCTTCCCTCTGCTTTCCTGCTGCTCTGATCTACAAACGCATCACATAAGATATCCACTTCTTCTACACATAGAAAACGTTTGACTCCCTCCCGCGCTGCATTGGCCAGGCCAGAGCTCTGTTATGTGGGGACCATTTTGGGGGGATGTATAGTCCCGACCAAGTTTTAATTTTGTGAATGTTGAAATTTGCTCAGGTATCTCAGCGGGGCGGGGAGCTTGGGAAAGGTATAGAAAAAGGAAATAATGTCACCAGCACACCATTTTTGTAAATCAATGATCCTATTTAATGGCACATTGCCATCCAATACAAGCGCTTTCGGGGCCGCAAGGTGTCCCCTTCATCAGGCTCAGAATTTCTGAGGCACATCAGTGGAACGTCTCTCGAGTTTCAGTACATTCCCCTGGATTTGTCATAGGAACTAATACATAAAGCAGTGGGCAGCGCTTGGTCACAAAGTATGACTAGAATTGCACAACGTCTCTAACGTCTCCCCTGTCCTGTACAGCATCCTCCACACACGGCCACCCGGGTTCCATACACTTCAGTAGAAAGCCGTTCAGTCTGCCCTGCATTACTCTATTGTGCACATTGCTTTTTGTATAAGCTTGTATCTTACACGGGATTATTGTTGTTACACATCATTTATTGCTGTGTGCGTTCTGCCTTTCAGATCCATTCGATGTTGAATCTGGACGAGAATTTTCCAACCTCAACAGAGTCATCTGCTCTGGAAGGTACTGACAGTCTGTATCTTCTGTTGATTTCCCTCATGCCGGTCATGTCTCTCACCTCTGCCACAAGGATGTGACAGCACACCAATTGAAAACCAGAAACTGAAAGATTGGAGGTTTTTTTTGTGGTGTTGACTTTTACTGTTACAATGTTTGGATGGGAAGGGGGTTTAACACCGCGGATGTCAACTGGTTAAAATGATTTCTGGCCTTTGTCATTTTCAAACGTTCTGTCTAGAGTCCGGGCACAGGACATGGGCAGCGACTCCTGACGCTGCAATATTTCCTCATGGAACTGGAAATTTAAATAGAAGCTGCAGCAATTGATGATATTTTTTACGGAGTCAGCTGTTTTGTGCAGGTTTAGGGGAAGGGAGGATCACCAGCACTCAGAAGATATTGTTTAAATCTTGGCGTTCATTTATTAAAGCACAGCGTCACATACGTCAAACAGCCAGCATTTCGGGGGCCACGCAGGGTCCCTTCATCAGGGTGACATAGTGACGATCCTATTGGTTTCAGATGCTGTAAGGAGTGCAGGAGACATATCTGTACACTAAGCTGTTCTGTGAAGGTATATTGTATAGGTGATTGTGACTGTAGACCACATTTATTTTTCTGCTCATAGGATGACGAATGATGACGAGGAGACAGATGAGGAAGATGACAGCAGTGAGGAGGCAGATGACGGTGATGAAGAGTCTCACTCGGATGAGGAAAGTGAAGGTGATGAAGCAGCAGCAGCAGCTAGTAAGCCTGTTGTTTGGAAAGGAGTGAAAAAGAGACTGAGAGACTGAACCATGAAATGCTGTAACGATGTCAATGTGCTGGTAACCAGGTCTGACAAAGCTTCTATTTATGTATAGTTTTTGCTACTTCCTGTATAAAATGAAATAGATTTGGTCAGTTTAAATGGGATTTGTTGTAATATTTATACTCCAAGTCTGCACGGATGTGATGAGGGTGTTCGAGGACTGTGAAAGCCAAAACCACATTTTGATGTTTGTAAAAAGTAAGTCTGTGCTTCTGGACAGCTTACCGCAGCGTTTCCTCCATGTGTCACATGTGCCAATCGCAGTCTTATGTCCTCGGCACATGGCAATGAATGCAACTAAACTGCAGAAAGTAAAACGTCTCCGTTTAAATCTCTCTACTCTGTATAGTGCCTGGCAGCGTACACCAAACCAGTTCTATGTCTGATGTCAGGAGCTGGAGGCACGTCATTGATGTGAGGATTCGCTCCAATGGTAGCACATTAAGGACACCGCCACTCGCTTTTCACTGTTTTAGGTCTCGTTCACACCTAGGCGTATTGCATATGCGCGTCTGTCACGCGACCGTCACGCGTTTCCAAAGGCTACTTGGCTGTATCCCAATGGAAACACGCAACAAAACGGCCCAAAGTAGTACCTGTACCTTTTCAGGCGTGGGCCGTTTTGTAGCGCGTTAGGGACGGGCGGAAATACGCCAAGGTGGGAACGAGACTATTGAATACAATGGGATTTATATTTTTGAGCGTTTTGTAGAGCGTTCGTCGAGCGTAGAACGTGCTACAAAACGTTCAGGTGTGAAGAACGCTTAGGCCTTCTTTGCCCACTTTTATTTACTCACAAAATGGAAAGAAACGCCCATACAAGTGTTCCGTCGCATGGGGTTTCCAAACACACAGTAGTTTTCTTAAACAAAAATTTTTTTTTTCGTCTCACCGACTTCAGGTTTCCGTTTTTTTACTACGGGCGGACGGCAAGAGGTTAAACAAAATATCCACTGGCCACACAGGCTTGTCCTTTTGCCACACAGGCGGATTGCCACACAGGCTGCTGCTCCCCAGTCCACCAGCCACACAGTCTGGTTCTAGGGTGGAGCCCTTCTCTTAGGAGGCTGGGACTTCTTGTAGAGGCCCTAACAAGCCAGCAAGCTTCAGCTAGGCTTGTTACCTCCGAGCCTCCAGCACTCTCTGCACTTCCCCCCAGAGGAAGAACTTCATTATTACACCTGAATCTAGGGCATACAACTCCGCCATCCTGGCTAGACTCAGACATTTTCCTCTGCCTGCTGCCACAATGTATAGCCTGAAAGCGTCTGTTCCCGTGTGCCGAAGACATTTTGGTGAGGGCAGTGCTCAGAGGGGCCGTCATCTGTGGGTGAGCATGGCAAAACCCCTGATCTAAGGGCCTGTGGTGATGGGCTTTGGGTTTGCGTTGGGCAAATGCTGCTTGATTTCAGGTTCATTCCGCTTGCTTTTGATATCAGACCATTCTGATGATACAAATTCAATGATGGGGCATTTGACCAGCTAAGCTGCTTCAAGCTGTTTTAGCATTCCCATTGATTTGTATGGGAAGAGAAACCGTTCTGACACAAGTAAAGGCCTACAACATTGTTGGTGAGTGAATGATGTCACAGAGAACATGCAGTATGTGAAATTGCAAGTCATAAACAATGGTCCGTGGTAATGCTTCTGTATTTTTTGATTCTTCCAGGAATAAGGCAACTTTATAACACAGCAGGTATGTCCTTCAATGTTTCTATGACCTCTGATACCAAACGTACATATCTATGGCAGAAAATGTATTAATGATACTTCCTGCTACCCGCAGTATATATTGAAGGAGGAGCCACACTGTACACAAAATGAATCTTTATGACATTACAGGTTTTACATTTTACTTAAAGAACTCCTATTTTTAAAGAAGGGACATTTTTATTACCCCTTGCAGTAGGGGCTAGCACCGCACTGCAGGGGTTACTTGCTCGTTTTGGACTAGGGAGGAAAATAACAAAACTATATTCCCCTGAGCCGGCTTGCTGTTAGACCGGTCCCTGGAGCCTCTCTCCCCCACCGTTACAGCTGTCTAAGGTCCTTATTTCATCACGTCTGTGTATAGGACCTGAGGGCTCTGGGGTCATACCATCCCTGCAGTGCAGGAGGAGACCGGCAGCGTTGTGATAACCTGCCGGCTCCGTAGATCAAGTGAGTATAACTTTGTTATTTTCAGACAAAAACGAGCACTTAACCCTTGCAATGTAAGGGGAGCCCCACTGCAAGGGTTACGATTAATTTTCCCGAGAGTTCTGCTTTAAATGATTGTTTTTATATAGACTGGAATGAGCTGTAAAAACTATTATTGTGTATTAACCTACTTTGGGAGAAGTAATAACAAATGAGAGTCCCACCACTCACATCTGCTAATAACTGATGTGATTTGAACAGTTCGAGCTATAGGATAGGCATTGCTTTTTATCTACAGGAAGTCTGTTTTACACAAAAGATGCTCCTAACTTGCTGCTCAGTGCACATCTAAAGGGATGGCCGGGCTGCTGTATTGCAGAGACCACCATAAAGCTGGACATACAGTTATAGATTATCTGCAGATTTTCTATGGTCAGATGGATAAAGTGCAACAGATTCCTCCATTTACGCTAAACTGTGTGGATGGAGGAATCTTCCACTGGCCAAGCTTCAGTATCTTGCTGGCTGGTTGTCAAAATACCTGAACAATGCCTGCATCCAATCAGATTGTTCAGGTGTTTTGAGAACCAGTGGGGCCGACAAGCAAGATACTGAAGCTTGGGAGATTCGTCCATTCACACAGTTTAGCGTAGATGGCGGAATCTGTTACACTTTTTCCATCTGACCATAGAAAATTTGCAGATAATGTCTAGGTGTATGGCCAGCTTAAGAGTCTGCAGCTGTTATCTTTATGTGTCTGTAATATATGAGACACACAGAACAGATATGAACCAATAAGCAAAGATTCGGGTTGTCCATGTGCTGCTGACAGCCGTGGGATCCCATGAATTGTAGCTTTTCTATATAAAGCGGCTGTAGTAGAGGATAGGATGACTGTTATGGTTTGCTTTTATTTTCTGTACAAGGAGCACTTAGTGTTGTTCCTTTACAAAGTCTGACTCTAATACTGAACAATGATGAAGAGTGGATTCCGTGGATGGGGCTCGTTTCCTTTGCTGACCACCTTCAGTTTTAGATTTTGCAGCCCTAGTTTTGTGGCCTTTATAGATTGTAGTAGACGTCTATGGATCTGACATATAGGCAGGCCATAGAAAGGCAGAGGGATTCATCTTATTTCCTGCACACCACTTCTTATACTTGTCTTCAACTTGCTGTCCTACCGCTATGGTCACCTCCTGGAGCCAAATGAAATTCTGCTGGGTACGCTGAGCCTCTCTCTCACAATGCAGCGCTGGGTGTCTGAGCATCAGTCTCTAGGGATGAGTACAGTCATGGGGGATTGTGAGAACTAGTCCTGTGTAAGCTCCAACCTGATTAATCAGGCTTTGTTAATACCATTCTGGCGCGCTGACATGAGGATCATATGCTTCATTATCTGCCCACAGATCCATAAACATGTACGTTTGCCTTGGTCACATACATGTTTATAGAGAGTGAAGGGAAGACTACTGGCCACCTCTCCTGGCTTTTCAAGATGGAAGCCATAGCAGTTGAAAACTATTGCTGTTGTTCATATTTAAGAAGCCCAGTGTCTGACCTTGGCTCCGCCTCCTTATTTCATAGTTTAAACATGTACCCAAGGTTGGTCTAATATTGTACATAGCTATCATCATGGTTCTTCAATAGAACTGACAAACGTAATAAAAGGCTCGGGAGGTGGCGGGTTTAACAAAGCTTGATATTTACAGGAAAGGTTGAGGTCTGCCTATACCTGGATCTACTAATCATTATGACGTGGTATTTCGGTGACTGATTCCTCTGCGGAGATTTCTCTTGTATGTTAAGTTTGCATTGACCAGGTTTGTGACAAGTTTAATACATGGAATAGGGCAGAGGGGAATAGTATGTACACACCACGCTAAGCTCAATGCCCATCACTGAACTCTCCATATTGGAGATACACGTTCACCGACAGCCTGGTCCCTCTGGGAAACCGGTCCGTACACAAGGTGTCAGTCCACTGATCATGATAAATGCTTCCAAGACAGAGGTCATAGTAATTTCACATTTTATTTCTTCAATGTAAAATACAAATATAAAACATTTGAATCCAACATGTAAAGTGCTTTCATACAGATCTGTGGAAACATTAGACAATTCACCTTACAGCAAGACCCCAGATACCTAGAAACGGTCAGGGTGTGACAGTGCATTCAAGGGGAGGGCGACATTGTCTTCTAGCACGGATGGTCAACGTACTAGATCTTTAAGACCGCAATGTATAAATCATGGAAAGAGAAAAAGGACATCACGAGTGTGATTATAGAGTTACAGTTCTCAAAGAGAGCTCATCTGTGTCACAGAGCAAATATCGGGACACTACATTAACAGCTCAGATTTCATAAAAGCTCAATTGTAAGAAATAAAAAACAAAACTTACATTAAAACCATTAAAAACACCAAATAAACTCTACAAGCCACTTTTCCTTTTTCAGCGGTCAGCAAACGAAAATACAAACAAGGTCTATATTCCAGGGATATTCTGGAGCATGCAGGAGAAGGACGTGTAAGGAAACCTATTAGTCCACGTTCACACCAAGGCGTTTTGTCGCTCGAAGCTAAGCACTACAATACGCCCAAGACAAGGAATCCCATTCATTTCTATGGCCCCTGCTCACCCCCAAGTGTTTTATTGCACAAAGTTTCCCATTAAAGTCTATGGGACCACAAAGGCCTGTAATCTGCCAAAACGTGGCTCATGTACCTTTTCTGCCTGCGACAACATGCTCAGGTGTGAACAGGGGCCATAGAGATGAATGGGATTCCTTGTCACGTGCTTACCTTTGAGAGACAAAATTCCTAGGTGTGAGCGGAGCCTCAGGCATTTAAACTAAAATGTTTGTCTTCACCCCGCGGATGGCGATGTGAGGTCAGTCATTAAACATCTATACAATGTGCACTTTTCTTTAAAGTGAAATGTTCAGTGGATCCTGGGAACCAGCGCAAGCCTGCGATATACCTACTGCCTACCACAATTCAATCTCTCTAATGGTTGTGTGTAGTGGGCATGGTGGGATATGGGGTGGAGTATGTCTGAGATTATAGGGGGGTCGTCAGAACAGGTTCACTTTAAAAAATCGAATCCTTTTCTTTTCCTTCATCTATATAATGACCCGGCTCTGTGTCTATGAAACTGCTGGGTGCTCCTGACTTCTCATACACCCAGCTCAGTGATACATTGAGGGGAATTTTCATCAAAACTGGAGCAGACCAAATCTGGAGCAGATGTGCACGGCAACCAATCAGCTTCTATCGTTCATTGTCAAATCTTGAAGGGGAATTCAGTAATAAATGTACACATCTTCATAAAAGAAAAAAACAAAATGTATTCATTTGTTTGCATTGGAGCTAGTAAAGCATTGCAGCCGTGATCAGTAGATTGGGGGTGCAATGATCTGGCTCCTGCAGACTTTTCCTCCCATCCAAGTCCGTACCAAGGTAGAGACATTCAATATCATGAACTCCTCTCGTCAGGAAAGCCGATCCCACCTCAACCTAACCACTGAACTATCAACTTCTCAAACAATTCATCCCCACACAGCTACCTCCTCATGTATCACTTCCCCCTCCCTTTTATACTGTATGCTCTCACTGGCAGGGCCTTCCTTACCATCTTGTATTGTGATTGTAATGTCTCCCTTTATATTGTAAAGCGCTGCACAAACTGTTGGCGCTATATAAATCCTGTGTAATAATAATGAACAGGAGGAAGTATCAAACTACAAGCGCTGCAATGTCGCCATACTTGTATTCCATTGAGAATTACCAGTCCCCATGCCATGGCACCCTGAATATGGGTATAACATGAAACCTGGTCACAATGGTAAACTCCACCTAACCGAACAAACTGAAGAGAGAAGCTGGTTGGTTACTACGGGTACGTCTCCAGAGTCTGTCTGCTCCAGTTTTGATACATTCCCGCAGAGACATGATAGAAGTGTCTTGGAACACCTCCTTCATATCCATTCCGGTGCAGGCATCGCTATGACACCGGCTTTCCTGTTGCTTCTTTTCATCTGTTTTAACCCTCCTAGCAGGTTTTTTCTTGAACTCTGTAAGATTTCAGATTTTCTCTGCACTGAGACTTGCAGGTGCTGAATGCACATTCAGTGTGAGTACCTTTGTGCCCTCGCTCTGACCGGGAGAATCTGACTGCACTGCAGACATGAACATGGCTGGATGCTGCAGTCCACCTCTATCATAATGTGACGAGTGTGACAAAGCAAAAACTTAAGTGCTCATTTGGCGTTGTAAACGTGTACCATGTGCCACACCATCATGCCTATACATAGATGGCTTTAAATACAATTAATTGGGACATTTTTTGTGGTCTTTGTATGTATGTATGTATGTATGTATGGATGGATGGATACAGCTGATAGGGATGGCTACGGTCTACAAAAGAATGGTGGGAGGTGATGACACCTCTTCGTTCCATGTTATGAATTCTGGGCACATAGCACCCTTCTGAATTATCAGACTCCAGCTGACCCTCTCAGCCACCCTCCATTCCCCTTACTGGCAGAAAAATATCATAACCTGATTCAGCTGGATGACCTGTTCTAGGAAATGTTAGTGTAGTAATATATTTCTTAGCTGCCCTCATGTAAAAATTCTACTTTAATCCCGTGCCATTTTTGCAAAGCATTGCAGTTTTAATGATGATGGGTACACCGGCACTTCTGTCATTAAGGAAATCTGTGTTCTCTCCTCTCAAATATTTGATTTCTTTGATATATTCTCTGCTTTGTGTAATTATGACTAGTGACCAGCAGATGTCAGTAAAGTCATACCCGTGCCAGGTTCACAGGCAGCACGGTGTCATCATGTTCTAGGTACCGATGCATTCCAGAATTTCCATCGAATAGACTTATGGGGGGAAAAAAGTCCTTTACTCAGCTGGTCTAACAAAATAGAATTCCATAATACACCGATCAATACAATATTCATCCAACACTTAATATGTAAAACTTTAGTTCTCATAAATAGACCAAAAACTTACCAACAGGTAACAAATAATCATATCAAACTCAAGCTTGAAGACTTCCCCTTCCAAAGGGGGCGTTAGCACAATACAGCACGACTGTGCTACCTCCCCTGGCAGCTGAGGGGAACAATATTTACACACGTGTGTTTTTCACAGTTTAAATCATAACTTAGTCATCTTCCATATACTTCTCCAGTTCTCGAAGTTTCTTCACAAAATCTTGTGCTTCTTTGTCCATCCTTCCATCCAACATCTTCAATATTGACTTCACTAAGCAAGAGAAACAAAGCTTGTTATCACAACTTGCTTAGAGAGAACCTGATCGTTGCTCATGAAGACCACAGGAACAGGTTCACTTTCATTCCACCTCCCAGCAGCACATATATCTTTTCTTTGCCCTTCTTTCAGATGCCGGGAGCAGGAGAAGGCACATTTTTGAGAAGAATTTATCAAAACTGGAGCAGACAAAATCTGGAGCAGTTGCTTATGGCAACCAATCAGCTTCACTTCAGATTGCTCAGTTGAGATTTGAAAATGAGAGGGAGCAGCTGATTGGTTGCAGTGCAAATCTGCTCCAGTTTTGATAGCTTACATATAGGGGGGAAATGTATCAGTTTTCCAGTAGTAGCCTGCACAGGGCTGTAGGTTCCCTCCATGTGACAGTGCTGGTCACAAAAAAATCCCCTGGCTTTAAAGCATAGCTTGATGTAGACACAAAAACAAATATTTAATATATTGCAGCTTACCAATCCTTCGATGTGGTGGCTGCATTGATTTTCTATTGTTAGGTTTATTATCACCTGGTGATGCAGCCAGTATCATGCTTCCTGCCTTAAAGGAGAGCTATGGGGTTAGGGCTTTTCCCCATAGTTCTCCTTAGGGTAACGGGAGGACACAAACTAGCGTCCTTCTGTCACCCTAGGCTCAGTATACCGCGAGCACATAATAAGAAATTGGGTCTTTCAATTAAAACGTTTGAAAAATAAAACTAGTTTTGTTTGAGACAGAGAGCGTGAAAGTAATCTTTTGACTGGAGGTAAAGTATATGTAAAGCCAAAACATCTACTTTTTTGGGGGGGGTTTGGATAGGGTAGAGACTTAATAAAACCCATCAAGTTTGTTGGCCATCTGTGTCCCATTTGGAGAGCTTTCACTTCATGTCCTGTAGAGACAACAGGAAATGAGAGGAAATCTCTCCAAAGTGAAGTCAATTCCCTCTTAGATAGTTTTCACTGGAACAAATGTCTTCAGTGAAAGGTTTCCTCTCACCTCCTGTATTGGTGTCACCTTAAAAATTGCGCTTTTTTAAAGGTTTGCCGGTGTAAAAAAAACTGAATGACCTTGTGTCTGTTTGATACTGCAACAATCAGTGGAAATATCATCCAGAGCCCAATACATTGGTTAGGAGCCAGGGTTTAACTAGGCAAAACACAAAAACATGCAGCCAAATGCATGATAAAAGGCAGCCCTATAGTCCTAAATACACTATACTGCCCCCTACTGGAAGGAGGAACCCCGACTGTGATATGTGAGCATATCTTTATGATTCCATTACTAATTACAATCAGCTTCTCTAGATATATTTAAGAACCACCCGGTGATTATGATGCTTACCATTGGCTTTAGGTCTTGTTAACTTCAGTACAGTTGGCTGGACGTTTTTCACACCACCAGTAATGTGTGGTCGGTTCAGTCCATAGATGACATTCATAGGAAGGACAGCCTCGCCGGCAAAGTCGTTTGTGGACAGCCAATCGTGATCCATGACTGTGAAGACAATGCAGGCGGCTTTTCTCCGACACTGCTCTGATGACACTGAGCTGTGACAAGGAATATTACAAGCACTAGATCAGTCTCTATCCAATGAGAAGCATAATCAATTGAATACATCTGGCCTTATTTCCGGGGCTTCTGAAGATCATGTCTTGTTGCCCATAATAACGAGTCGGACCCTTCCTTTCTTTCAGAGAAGTCGTGAAGAATGACAGAATCGGATTAGTTGATATGGACAATAAGAACAGTTTGTCTTCAAACAACCTAAAGGGAATCTGTCAGGGAAAAAATATAACCGCTGCCACTGCTGACATTTTCAAGGGGCATGCTGACCTGGAGCAAGTATGCAGCCAGTGAAGTGTTGGGCCACCACTAATGCACATACTGGTTCCCACTCAGGGAGTCACGAAGTAGTAAAGCCAGAATGAGGGTGACAGTCATGGCAGTTCCTATGGGGTTTTTTTTTTTTCACAGGTACCTTTTAAAAGGCAAATTCAGACAAACAGCTCAATACTCAGCTGTAAAACATATACCAGAACAATAAATGACTGCAGACTGTACTATTGCCCCTCTTCCAGTCTGCTCACTGGACTATTCATAACTACACCCACCCACCCTGAGCTATCTCCCTATATTCACCCGCTCATACAGAACCTCCCCATTGGTTTAAAGGAGAACTATGAGGTGAGTGCTTTTCACTCACCTCATAGTTCTAGCCGACCTGTGACAATGAGACTGTCACAGGTCGGCTCAGTAGATCGGGAAGTGAGCGAGCACATACCGGCGTTCGCTCATTTCTCGATCTTGTCACGGGGAGGAACTGGATTCCCCCCTCCGATCCTCCAGCGCTGACTGGTGGAACAGACGGGGGAGGGTACAGCTGGCTCAGCCTCTAGATAGGCAGAGCCAGCTGTCAGTCACGCAGCTGGGCGCATCCAGACATAATTGTCGGGATCCGTTTCAGCTGCGGCGTCTCAGTAGCTCGCAGTATTCTGAGCTTAGGGTGACGGGAGGGCGCTAGTTCGTGTCCTCCCATTACCCTTAGGAGAACTATGGGGAAAAGCCCTGACACCATAGTTCTCCTTTAATTAGGCAAATAAACACTTTATATGATTGCCGATTCCACAGAGATTATACAGTTACCTTTCCAATGTCCCCCTGCCATGCTGATCCTGTGTTTTAACTATCATTTAATTTAAGGTAGCACATTGCTATGTATCCTCATGTGTCAGTGCCTGCCCTAGTGTCTGGCCACTTAGCACTATGCAGAAAGAACAGGGGAAGCTTCATATGCTCACCCATACCCAGTAGTACAGGTTTTCATGAGGAAGGTCAATATTTACTCCTAGCACTGCTATCAGATACTAGTCCAGGCAAAGTACAGGTGTTCTACTTCCTCTCACTGCACATCTACGTTCAGCTTTCATTTAATATGTAGCAACAGACTGTAGTGATAGATTGCAGATAGCGACTTCATTAACTATAGGAATAGAGACCTAACATTATATAAAGTTTTTTTCTATGTATTCCCCAGAAGCAGATCATGCATGAAAAGGTCTGAGAGTGAGAGAATAAATGTAAGAGTCTAAGGCTACAGTGATCAAATATACAGCGAATGCCCTGAACAAAACCAAAATATCCTTAAAGTGCTGCCAGCCTGTCCAGTTTGCCAAAACGACTCCCCACCCCATTCTTCCATCTCTACATCATAAAGGCTAACCATTGTGTAGTCCATGATAAGGACTGGGAGGTCTAATTACTCTCCTTAAGACAATATAGGAAGTGTGCCGAGGACTCAGGACAACTCTAAGCCCTGGTTCACACCTAGGCGTATTGCATATGTGCATCTGTCGCGCGTTTTTTTTACCGCGATTCGCGTAAAAAAAAAATCGCGCGACAAACGCGCGTTTCCGAGGGCTACTTGGCTGTATCCCAATGGAAACACGCAACAAAAACGGCTCAAAGTAGTACATGTACCTTTTCAGGTGTGGGCCGTTTTGTATCGCGTTTGGACGGGCGGAAATACGGCAAGGTGTGAACCAGACCCATTGAATACAATGGGATTTAGATGTTTGAGCGTTTTGTAGAGCGTTCGTCGAGTGTAGAACGCGCTACAAAACGTTCAGGTGTGAACGAGGGCTAAATGGGTGACATGATCATTCACATGGCCATTCATGGCTGTACACTGCCCAGATCAGAGTATTTCTGTGGAGGGTACAGCCAGGAATTTCCGTTAGCTGCAGCAGCTGCAGCAGCTCAGTCTGTACAGATCAATGACAGGCTCCTTAGCTGTCCACATGTATTTGTACATGGAGGGAATACCTGAGGTTAGGGACAGATGAGCGGCCCTAGGTTCAAACAGTCTGCGTACAGGGTCACTCGTCTGTCCCTATTTGTAGGTAATTGCTCCTTGCGCGTTTACATGCGAACAGCTGCGGGAAGAGTCAGCATGTCACTGATTAGTAGAGGCTTCCTGTCCACAATTGGCTGTGCCCACCCCAGAAATAGGCTGATCTGGTGTGTATATGGCCATGAACAGCCGGGGTTTTAACTACACTTTAAAGGCATCAGAATATTTTCAAGTGCTAAAAATGTAACTGAACACTTTCATTCAATACATGTTACGCTTCTTATCGTTTTCTTGTCTGTTTAGTCCTGTAATTCACTTACTCTTGGCTGCTTTGGGTTGCTTACTCTGTCACCAACAAATAATGATAACTTACTTGACAAAGTCGGGTAGAAGTATGTTTCAAATTCATAACAAGGTTATGGTAATTCCCAAAGCATTACTCTACCTACACAATAAGCCTGATAAACACGGGAGTCAAGTCGGTTTTGCAAATTGTATTTAATACCAGCCATGGTCCCTTATAATGTCCTTCTAGCTTGTGGAGGGTAAAGGAGGGTATAGTTGATCTCTAGGGTTTGTATACACATGTGCTGCATAGTAATATACTGTATATCCAACTGTAAGACCCCATTCAGATTGAGCGATTTATTGCGCGGTAATTCCCGCGATATCGCGGCAAATTACCGCGCGATATCGCGCTCCAATGCATTTCAATGGGGCAAAGGGTCCTGCTGTCGCGGGTCGTGTGTCCCTACAGCAGGACCCATTTTGGAGCGGATTTAGCTGCGATTCAAGCTTGCTCAATGCAAGCTTGAATGCGACATCGCGCGGCAAATCTTGCGATGTCGCGCAATATGCATATCGCGCAGTGGGAACGGGGCCTAAAGCAGTGCCTGTATTATACCACTACACACAGAAGCAAGGACTGCTGCATCAATGTTGCCTGACACTCTTGTTTGTATGCGTCCTAACCTGAAGCACTGCAAATACCCTCGGATGCAGGGAAAACATTGTTATACATTCAGCTTTTTGGCTCAGTAATGCCAATAAACAGGCTTCAAACACTCCCTCAATCAAGAGGCATCAATATAACTCACTGCCCCCTATAAACTGCATTATTATTATTTTGAAATATAAGAACGTAATGCATATAAAAGATGTTAATAAACTACTCACAAATAAAACAATTCATCGTAGACTGGATGTAAAGTTTTGGCTTTAACTTGAGTGCGCTGACCTTTCACCAAAGGGAAGATGTGATTGGGACATAGCTCTATGATGACAAATGGATCACTGAGACCTACAAAACAGATAGCAAGTGTTGTAAGTAGAGAACATACATTTCTTTGGCTGATGTAGAGGGTGCGGCTATTGGCATTGTCACTGCTGGTTCACATGCCTGTAGCTTGTCAATCAGAACTGGACTACACCTAGCCCTGCCTACTGCTTTCTGGATTGGCAGCACTACCTCTGTTCCTGAAACTCTCCCACTGTGAGCTGCAGTGTCTAGGAGGGGGAGCGTGTGAGACACAAATGTAGGATTATTTGGCTCTGTAAGGGAAGGGAAGGAAACAATTTACTTTTTGAGGCTTGCATTTAACATTGTAACTGAATTTGGTACTTTAGACTGTCATACGGGGAGTCTTTAGTTGTACTTGGGTAGAATAGTCAGAGTTAAAGCAGAAACTAAACCCACCATTTTAACTGTTCCCCCTAAAAAACATCTCATATACTACTATATATGGTAGTAGCCCCACCTGTAACTACCAACAGGACCAGTGATCTCTATACAAGTGCCAGCCATTGCTTTATTTGTCCTCAAGAGAACTGACAGCCAGTGATGAGTCTTTATCTCCCCTGAGTACACAGTGTCTGCTCAGGTTCAGCCTCCCCTGGGCACAGTCCTGGATCTTCGGTTGCCTAAGGCACCTGTACAGTCAGGAGAACATCTTCTGTGGATCTTATGGAGTCAGGGCAATGCTGCTCAAGTTAGCAGCCACATGCCTTTTACGGAGTTTGGCGTGTTGTATTAGGGTTGCCACTGTCTCATGTACCCTTCTGTGTTTGGGCCAACTTCAGCCTGCAGTATGTTTTTCCTGCCAGGCTAACGTCTGGAAATGTGCGGTCGCCATTTATCAGTAGTTGCGGCCATTCTGTACATGGCTCTCCCCATGGAGGTTTTGGCAGCCGTCAGAGATCACTTAGAAGATTCACCATTGATTTGAAGAATGCATTCCAGGCTTTCAGGGAGCCTTCAAAAAAGCTACTGGACATATACCATAGAGTCAGCCTTGAAAAGCAGCATAGAGAGGGTTATGATCAGCCAAGCCTTGGATGAACTGAAGCTATTGGTGGAATTTGTAGGTATGTAATTCTAATTTATTTATGGGAAGTACTGGCACTAGGCTCAAACACTTCTATAGTTTTCACTATTGGTAATTAGGAGGTGGGGCTACCACCATATGTATGCTAGGAAGGAAGCATAGCAATTCATTTTTAGTTTTCTGTAGTTTTAGTATAGTCATATTCGGCTTATTAGCACATGCACAGCGTATGCTACATCTAAGGCTGGGCACACACCTTACAACCATCGCAAGACTTTTGTCTTGCGATGGTTGTAAGGTACTTTAAAAAACGTACGATCTGCCTATGTTGCATAGGCAGATCGTACTTGCGATGATCGCAAGCCACGCCCCCTGAGGGGCGGGCTTCTGATGACCGCAATGCCGAACGGGCAGTGTGCGCTTGCGCACACTGGCCTGTACGGCTTTTATCGTACGGACACGCCACAAATCCGCCGAACATCGTACGATGCTCGGCGGGTTTTCGAACATGTCCGTAAGTTTAAAGTCGTGCGACCTTACAGTAGTAGAGGTCGCACGGCTTCTACACACCTTACGATAATCGTACGATCGCGGGATTTCCCGCGATTATCGTAAGGTGTGTGGGGACCTTAAGGCATGCCCCTGGTGACAACTGTCACAGCTGCCAGTGTGATTAAGACAGCTCTCAACTGAATTTTCAACCTCCCAAATGACTGGTGTCATAGCTCATCACATATGCATTTCCATGGCAACTGCAGATCTAAAAAGAGGCTGAGATAGTGCTGTCTTTGGCTGCAAATGGAAAGGAGGGTTAAGCTCCACTTTAAGTTTGGCTTATCGGCAGAGATCACATGACCAAGTTCCCTGGACTATAACGGTAAGTGTAGACAGCAGTTTAAGAAGACTTCCAAAGACTGCTTACATTGGTTTCAGCACCTGGGCGTTTTGTAGCGCGTTCCTACGTTCTGCAAAACGCTCAAACACCGAATCGCGGTAAAAAACGCGCGTCAGGAAACGTGCGACAAACGCACGTATTGGATACGCCTAGGTGTGAACCCAGCCCAAGACAGCTGCACTCAGCACCACCACACACTCCCCACTGCTTACCTAGTGCAACCCTCTAAGCAAGGCCCTTCAGCATGCACCAGCATAGTGCAAACATCTGAAAAATAGGTGTTTCTATTAACAAAACGGGGCAAACACATGTGCACACTGCTGGGCTGTTGCTTGCAGTGTGGAATGAGTCCTAAAAGTTGTGGGTGGGGGAATAAATCCAAAACACAGAGCTCCAGCCCTCCCCAGAAGATAACGGTACACTTTAAGGTACTTAATACTCACCGTTTGCATCAAGTGCGATAAGATCTGCAGCATGAAGCACTTCCACATAGAGCTTCTGCTCTGAGGTCTCATAATAGCACTTCACACTAATCCTTCCATATTTACTGTGCTCAGCTGACCTCTGCAATAACAAAACATTTCCCCATATGACGGTTAGTAATGGAGATAAAGCTACCAATAGCTGAGGTCAGTCTGTTGCACGACACAAGTAATTACATAGATTTGATAAGCTGACAGTGTGCCGAGCAAAACGGTCTGTAATAGATATTCCGGGGATATGAGGCCAAATATCGACTTGACAGCTCTGAATGTTCATACAGCCTGGGCTGTAATTTTCAGACTGTGGTGTGATTGTTGTATTGCTGAAAAGGAAATCTTTCAAGGTTTCTCATACTGATAATTAGATGCTCTTGTGTGGGATCTCCGGGACTAATGACCACTTAAGCTCTCACACCTGCACATCGCCTATGGACCACAGCAACTTTCACACGTCTGCTAAAGGACTAATACTTCATAAATAACTTACTCATTACCTTAAGATTACAAAGTTATACTGTGTTTTACAGCTTCCTTTTGCTGATATTGTCTTGTAAAAATGATTTTATCTTTTATTTAATTTGTAGACAAATATTAAAAATCATAAAAAAAACACTTTGATCCGTTAAAAAAAGCGTTACTGTAGATTAAAAGTATACATTTTATTCCCTTGTGTCCCATTTAATACAACACAAATTATGATTCCGGTGCAAAGCATTGCAAAATTATTTACAAGCAAAAAAAAGGGTGTTTTTTCCAAATTTGCCCTTTTAATGTTGTGGCACTAAAAAAAACCCTGAATAAACAAATAAAAACCCAGAAAAGTTTTGAATCAATGGTTAAAAAAACAAAATAAAAACATATTAGAGGGAAAATAATATTTAAAGGGAGGGTGGGAAGAACAAGTTAATTAGGGATCATTATGGTAAGCTAAGGGTTAATAAAGGGTTAAATAGGAACTAATTTTTAAATATTTTTTCACTTTTAAAGTTGCTTTAACTGACATCATATATGTTTAGTATGTGGCTTCAGTCAAGGTATGCTTTCTATAGTAACCAGCAGTCATCCGCACCTAGTATACTCACTATTAGAGGTAACTTATTTAACGTGCTGTTTGCAGCAGCCTATGGATCCCTGAGTCATCACGTTCTATACACAGTGTATAGGACATGAGGATGCCAAGGGACATACCATCGAGGAGGCAGGCAGGAGGGAGCGCTGTGACAGCCAGCCAGCTCCAAAGATCGGGTGAGTATAACTTTTTTTTAACCTAGACCAAAATGAGCAGTTAACCCTTGAAGTGCTGGGGGTAGCCCCACTGCAAGGGTTAACAAAATGTCTGCCCAGAGTTCTGCTTTAACATTATGTATTTGTGTTTCTCATTTCACTAGAATGCGTATTGTTGTCGTTATATTTCTACAGACACATGTATATATCAAGTCTATGTCAGCACAATTACCTGCTCCTTCATATTGTCCATGTAATATTTCTCAATCAGTTCACTTGTTGAACATTTATTTAAACGCAATTCTTCTTCCAAAAACTGGGGGGAAAAAGTACAATGATATATTGTCACAGGATGAAACATCTGCAGATAAAATGTTTATAGAATGACTGAGGGCTGGAGGGGGCGTGGCGGGCCATTGAAGTGAATGGCACCGTAGCCACGCCCTCTGGCCGCAATTTGATCACCCGGCACATTGTGCCTGCAGTGCGGTGCGATCAAAATACTGCTTGCAGCATTTTGATTGCACCGGACCGCAGGCACAAGGTGCCTTGCGATTCTGTGTGGGGGCGTGGCTACGGTGCCATTCACTTCAATGGCCCACCACGCCCCCTCGGGCCCGGCAAAAAAGTTCCGGCCAGAATCGGACCGGAACGCACTGCATATGGTGTGAACTAACACTTAGAAATAAAACCAGAACCCCTTGAAGGGAGCAGACAAATTCTGGAGCAGCTGTACATGGCAACCAATCAGCTTCTCTCTTTTATTTTCAAATATTAACTGAACTTCTGTCTGCTCCTGTTTTGATAAATCCCCCCCTTGTGTTTGGTGGATTACATTACATTGTTAGCATAGGTTGGCAGAGCGAGGTGATATACACTGAACGGATGGTGGGGTGGATGAGTCTGGCAGCAACATTCACCAACAAGGAGGGAGCTGCAGCAGTCGAGATAACAAGGGAGTGATTCAGTAGCTTGGTGGAGTCATTGGTTAAGAAAGGGGCATATTTTGGTAATGTTATGGAGGTGAAGGGAGGGACTGATAACTGTGCTAAGGATCTTCATGTAATAGTCAGGGGAAGAACAAAATTGAGCTTTCCTAATGAGTTCAGTTTTGGAATGATTGAGTTTTAGAAAGTGGTGCGACTTCCATCCTTGTATGTCAGCTAGTAAATTGGTGATTGAATAGGTGAGCTGAGGAGAAGAATGATAGATTTGAATGCCATCAGCATACCCTTGCAGCCTTACTGCAAGGATTAAGAATAAATCTTTCTGGAGTTATTCTTTAATAAAGCAAGCTCTTATTCTCCAAATGAGGCAATGAGACAAGAATACACTATATTACCAAAAGTATTGGGACACCTCTCCAAATCATTGGATTCCGGTGTGCCGGGAAATTTCCCTGCTACTAAATATTCCACGGTCAACTGTTAGCGGTATTATAACAAAGTGGAAGCAACTGGGAACAACAGCAACTCAGCCATGAAGTGGTAGGCCATGTAAAATGACAGAGCGGGGTCAGCGCATGCTGAAGTGCGCAGAAGTCGCCAACTGTCTGCAGAGTCAATAGCTACAGACCTTCAAACTTCGTGTGGCCTTCAGATTGGCACAACAACAGTGCGTAGAGAGCTTCATGGAATGGGTTTCCATGGCCGAGCAGCTGCATCCAAGCCTTACATCACCAAGTGCAATGTAAAGCGTCGGATGCAGTGGTGTAAAGCACGCCGCCACTGGACTCTAGGGTGATGAATCACGCTTCTCTGTCTGGCAATCCGATTGACATGTCTGGGTTTGGTGGTTGCCTGGAGATCGGTACTTGCCTGTCTGCATTGTGCCAAGTGTAAAGTTTGGTGGAGGGGGATTATAGTGTGGGGTTGTTTTTCAGAGGTTGGGCTTGGCCCCTTAGTTCCAGTGAAGGGAACTCTTAAGGCATCAGCATACCAAGACATTTTGGACAATTTCATGCTCCCAACTTTGTAGGAACACTCTGGGAATGGCCCCTTCCTGTTCCAACATGACTGAGCACCAGTATACAAAGCAAGGTCCATAAAGACATGGATGAGCGAGTTTGGGGTGGAGGAACTTGACTGGCCTGCACAGAGTCCTGACCTCAACCTGATAGAACACCTTTGGGATGAATTAGAGTGGAGACTGCAAAGCCAGGCCTTCTCTTCCAACATCAGTACCTGACTTCACAAATGGTCCAACATTCCCATAGACACACTCCTAAACCTTGTGGACACCTTCCCAGAAGAGTTGAAGCTGTTATAGCGGCAAAGGGTGGGCCAACTCAATATTGAACCCTACGGACTAAGACTGGGATGCAATTAAAGTTCATGTGCGTGTAAAGGCAAGTGTCCCAATACTTTTGGTAATATAGCTTATGATTGTTATAGCCACAGGAGACACAAATACAATAGGGGGAATTTATCAAAACTGGAGCAGACAAAATCTGGAGCAGTTGCCCAGGGCAACCAATCAGCTTCCCTCTTTAGTCTGTTCAGTTAAGATTTGAAAATTAAAGAAAGAAGCTGAGGCACAGCTGCTCCAGATTTTGTCTGCTCCAGTTTTGATAAATTCCCTTCAATGTTTTTCCTTTTCTTGATATTTTTCTTGTATAGCATAAATGCAATATGTTATTTTCTCTTCAAAAGGAAACTTATAAATAACCAGGATTTAAAAAACAATCCAATAGAATCACAGCTTTAGTAATGTCGCTCTGATTTGGAAATAAAGATTCATGTGTGCTCCACAGAAAAGATTTCAGTAAAGCAGTTTTTTCCAATCTCTGAATACCAAGCTATGAAGATAATAATTAGAGTCAATCACCCGGTAATCTCCATTCCGCAAGGTGTCCAGTGGTAACCCTTGTCCTTCTGCATGGAAAAAGTCAACAAGAGCCTGTCAGAGAGAGAACACTTATTAGTAGGATGGACTGTATAGCGCTGTCAGTTTGTCATACATTCTCACCCACGTACACACACTCCTTTACTGCGTCATGGGTCAGAGCAGTACCACAGCAAGGTAAAGGGAACCACAATTAGCTGCTTACAAGAAACTACACTGAAGGGAAACTGTTTACTTTTGTACAGATTGTTGTTTCTCCTTTTTTGGATTAACAGTTTGGACACAAGTATGAATTATTTGGGACGGAACATGGACTGTTGATGTTGTTGGTCTCCTCCTTATGCCGAGTATTCAATTTCCCTGATGGCTGTTACCCCCGCCCATGGCCAGGGCGGGACGAGTCCATTTGGAGAGACTTTCTGTGCCTTTGGGCTACGCTTACCACCTCCCTTCCCATTACACTATTTGGAACAGACACCAGTCACTAGTGGTGTAGCACAAAGTCCTGCACAAGGGCCTGTCCTATATAATCTGTGTGTAAGTGATGTAACTAAAGTTTACATTAAAGAAACCAACCCCGATCAAACTCTCTGCTCTCTCTCTGTGATTTCATTTGACTAAAGGTAGATATAGCCAGGCATCCAGCATTTTCAGAAGGAGACCATCATGGAAGTCCTCATACTTCTCTTTTGACAGATTTACTTTAAGCCCTTATGACCTGTTCTACAATAGTGCCTATTGATATCACCTATGTGATGATCTTACCATGCTGTACTCATCCAACTTACTGCAATGGCAACCCATGTGCAAGATACTTAATAATAGACTCCAGGATTTGATTCCTTCAGGAATCAAACTCCAGGCAGATATAGGACACCAAATCCAGTACACAGGAAAAGTAAGCAGTAATCTATTCCGAAATTAGGAAAACTGGAAATAGCATTAGGGCATAAGGTTGTTTGCAGTCAAAACAATGAAAGTTATTATTTCAGCAGCTGTTGTGGGATCCAATAAAGTAGCAACAACCTATATGTTTGGTAGTTATAAAAACTAGGGGCTTTGAAGTAGCAAGAGATACTGTAGTACTGAGATCACTTGCCAGAGTTATGTACAGAGAAGTGTCATTTCCTCAGAGCCTGGTAACAAGCATGAGGCAAACCAAAGTGTACATAAATAACAGGTTTTTTTGTGACTGCTTTAAGAGGCCTACGGGATTGGATTTGATTTCTCTTGCTTATGCTTAGCCCAAAGCAGCTGGGAAGACTTCAAATTCTGGACTGAAATGTCACCAAGTCTTGGCTGCGACATTGGAAAAGACTTAGTACATACAATTTCCTAGCTGAATCAGGAGCCTCCACATGGGGAGTGATGTGATGACCCTTGTACACAATGCATATAAGATTCTACCACTCTTAGGGGTCTATTCACTTATTTGATATGTTTAATAAGCAATGCTGGAAAATCTCTGGAGCTGAATGATTACCATCAGGTGTCCCTTATGCCAACTATTTATCTTCAGAGCTGTACATATTAGTCATATAACCGGCCACACTAGAAGTTTTCAAATGCCATATATAAATAAGGAGTTCTATGTATTGGTTAAGCAGATGCCATTATTAAATAGATTTACCAGAGGAGCAGTCATGACAGCTCAGATATCTGAGAATTCTTCCAGCCAAGTTAATTAGGATTTATTATCTGCCTGGAATATGCCAGGAGACACGTCAGTGAGGAAGCAGCATTTCAGAGTATGTTGACCAGCTGGGTTGCAGAAGCACAGCACTATTATTACATTGCTCAATCATGTTTCTACAGCTTCACAGTAGGTGAGAGGCCATTATAGACAATAGCTGTGAGAGGCTAGCTTCCTGGCTGGAAGTAATGCATTGGATAAACCTCTTATAATGAAAGGTATAATTAGGTGTATACAAGATATAGTTTAGTTATCCATCCAGTTCTTTCCCCACCACAGCTACAGTGATGGTGCTCTTATAAGGAAGGTTCTTTCATTGCTATGTGTTCCCGTTAGAGAGAGTTTTCTCTCATTTCTGTACCAGAAAGCACTCAGGCCTCCTAATGTAAGTATTGTATTCAGATTTAACATGAATTGCATCATACTATAATATGCATTGACATTATTTCTCAAGATTTGATCAGCAGTGAGAAGGTGCTAACTCAAATATTTAATACTGTTCTGATAATATTTAGAGGTACAGTACAGTAGTTATTAGTGCCAGAATGGATAGGAACATCTGATTGGCTGTTACCAACAATAACTGGTCTTTCTTCAGACACCTATAATCCAAGCCCAATATTTGTTACTGTTTAATATTCAGTAATATGTTTTACTGAATGGTTTACCTCAAGTGTGTAATAAAATCGTCCGTAGAACTCCACTGAAACGCCTCTATTTGACTCTACAGCATCAATTATGAATTTCAGCAGAAGCCACCAGAGGGCTTCAAGCACCCTGTAAAGAAGAGGACAACCAGGAATATTAGGATACATAAAACCATTGCTGCTGTAAAGTGTTTTATAGTGTATTCTGACATCAGAATGTGCTAATGCAATACATGTAACCTGAGTTACATAAAACCATGGCCAATGCTATGGCAAACTTCCCTTCTTGGCCAGAACCACACCTACTTTCCGGCAATTCTAGTGCATGTTGTGGCAACATACTCTGATTTCGGCACAGTTAGACCATACAGTATGCTGGTGCTGGGACTGTAAAGCTTAAGGAACTCTTATGTTCCTGATACTATCAACCACCTTCAAACACTGTGAAGTAACAGCTATCACATATTTTGTGGCCCACCCTGCCTCTCTCTTTTAAAGGCCACAATTTGGGAAAGTCCAACAAATGTCATAAAAACTGGGAGTTGGCTTTCAAAGATGAGTAAAACGGCATTTGTAGACTAAATGGGTTCCTAAGGCTACCCTTAAGCTGGCCATTTACCTTACAATTATCTGCAGATTTTCTGTGGTCAGATCGAAAAGGTGCAACAGATTCCTCCATCTACACTTAACTGTGTGGCTGGAGTAATCTCTACCTGGGCCAATCTGTTGCACTTTTTCCATCTGACCACAGAAAATCTGCAGATAATTGTAAGGTGTATGGGCACCTTTAGACATCAGAGGGTATACATTACTAAGCCCAAAAACTCAAATGTAATATATTGCAGCTTACCAGTCCTTAGAAGTTTTCCTTTTCAGGCTTTTGTCCTTAATTTTCACTTGGTAATCCTGATTCCTGTCCTTGGCTGACTACGCTCGTTCAATTATATCTACGGAGGGAGCCGTGACTGTCACCCAGACTGGGCTTCAAACAGGTCTTCCTTATTTCATCTCCATTAAATAGGGGTGGGGATTACTAGTTTACTAATGGAAAATAACATTGTTTGTGCTTTCAGTTCAGCTCACAGGAAGTGACAAGGACACTGCATTCCTGGCAAGATCAGCATGTTTTCTGTACTTGCTGCAAATGTCCTTAGTCTGAAAAGTGAAACCGAATGCAGCCACCACATGTGAGGACTAGTAAGCTGCAATTTATGGATCTTTGTTCTTAGGTTTAGATATCCAGAGGAAAAATGTTCTGCAAACCTGTAAGTTCAAGTCTTCATGAGGATAGCTAATCATGTAATCAGACATTTCCATCTCAAAACCAAAGCACAACCGAATACTAGAATGCCATTTTTAGTGACTGCCCTTCAAGGGTCTCTATTTATCAGACATAACTAAGAGTGAATCATAGACTATAAAAACCTTCCATGTACAAGGACATTCCAAGTACATTACTTTGTTTGAGAAGGTTTGCTGATGTAGACTAAAACATGTAGCGAGCAGCTGTGTAAAGAGTATTGAGAAGATGTGTGTGTATATACACCGATTAGCCACAACATTATGACCACTGAGAAACTAAGCGAATAACATTGATTTTCTCATTACAATGGCACCTGGAAGTGGATGGAATGCATTAGGCAGCAAGTGAACATTTTGTCCCTGATGTTGATAGCTAGAGTAAGAGCAACTCCAAAACGGCAACTCTTGTGGAATGGTCCCAGTCTGCAGTGGTCTGGACCAACCAAATGTGGCTCAAGGAAGGAAAAACGGTAAACCGGTGACAGAATCATGGGTGGACAAGGCATGTGGGCAGCGAAGGCTGGCCCGTGTAGTCCAATCCAATAGAAGAGCTACTGTAGCTCAAATTGCTGAAAAAGTTAATGCTGGTTCTCATAGAAAGGTGTCTAAACACACAGTGCATCACAGTTTGTTGCATATGGGGCCTCAAAGCCGTCAGTGTGCCAATGCTGATTCTGTACACCGCCGAAGCGCCTACAATGGGCATGTGAGCATCAGAACAAGACGACAATGCAATGGAAGAAGGTGGCCTAGTCTGATGAATCACACTTTCTTTTACATTATGTGGATGCCTGGGGAAGAAATGACCCCAGGTTGCACGATGAGAAGAGCACAATGCTTTGGGCAATGTTCTGCTGGGAAACCTTGGGTCCTGCCATTCATGTGGATGTTACCTTGGCACATACCACCTACCTAAACATTGATCCTGACCAAGTACACCCCTTCATGGAAACGGTATTCCCTGAAGGCAGTGGCCCCTTTCAGCAGCATAATGCGCCCTGCCACACTGCAAAAGTGGTTCATGAATGGTTTGAGGAACACAACAACGGGTTTGAGGAGTTGACTTGGCCTCCAAATTCTCCAGACCTCAATCCAATCGAATATCTGTGGGATGTGTTGGAAAAACAAGTCCGATCAATGGCCCCATCTCACAACTTCCCAAAAGTTAGAAGATCTGCTACTGACGGATTGGATACCACAGCATGCCTTCAGAGGTGGAGTCAATGCCTTGATGAAGGGTCAGGACTGTTCTGGAGGCAAAAGGGGGACTTACTCAACATTAGACGGGTGGACAAAATGTTATGGCTGATCGGTGTGTGTGTATGTATGTATATATAGATGTATATATAGATATATATATATCTATATATATATCTATATATATATAAAATTATGAATATACTTGAGACACAATGCTATCATTTGAGATCAGCTGACCATGTCAACGTGATGCAAACTAGGCTCCATTGCTTTTGGTGGAGGGTGAACACAGAAAATGTTTTTTGTTTTTTTTATAATTGAATTTATTATTCTGCTTGTTTTGTGCTATTTGCTATGCCAGTAAAATATTAGAGAAGAGGTTCCATAGAAGAAAAGTATCTTCTTAGACATAAAAGTCTTATAGGGAGTACTGGCTTCTACTTGATAAGATGGCATAAGCTCAGATCTTTTATTTCCTCATCTGCATTAAAAAATGGCTCCTGGGACTCTTAGTGCTTCTATTTTCTTTCCTCCAGTTGGTATTTATTACAGGTATTTATATAGTGCCGACAATTTACACAGAGCTTTACATAGAGACACATTCACATCAGTCCCTGCCCTCATGGAGTTGTTACTAATTATGTAGAAACATGAAAGGTTCCTGGTAAGACCAAGTCATTGCTCCTGATGTCTTAAGGGTCTCTCTACAACACTCAGATTGCTGGTACAAGAAAACTATGTTCATACATGATTATGTGAGACACACGCATAATGGAAGTTCTAGTGGGCTGCTGGATGTGACGGGAAAATCTAGGTGACTGCAGAAGATGAGGAGGGCCTGTGGGGTTGAAGTCTGTATGTGGAGGGAGTTATACAGGAGTTATAGACAAGAGGTGTTAAATGTCAGGGGAGGTGCAAAGGATTTACGGGGTTAGGAATGGATGTGGGTGGATCACATATGTGTGAATGGATTTGATGGGACGTAGACTCATTGAATGTGTGGGAAGTAATAGAGGATAATGTGGGTGGTGGATCTTTGGGGGACGTGTGGAGGAGTTATGGGATTGCTATGAGTTGTTGGATGTGAGGGAAGGTGTGAAGAGATTATATAGGTATTGGAGTGTTGGTTATAGAGGAAGATGTGCAGGTTATGAGGGTTTGTGGATAAGGCCAACCCAGTGGCTTCAAGCTTTACAGGACTCAGTATAACATATTCTTGTCTTACCTGTACAGGTTTTCTTTCACCAAAGTTTCACTCAAAATAATTAATTTGTCATCGAGATATTTCATGAGAGGAGACACAGCCTAAAACAGATTATACACCATATGTTAGTGATTAAAATGACAGATAAATTACAGATGTTTGAATGGCTGAGCTGTAAAGTCCAAATTAATTATGATTATCGTTATAATTATCCGTGTATTTGTGAGTTCTCAGTAAACACCAGAGCAATCACACTGACAGCACGCTAAAAATACACCACAATACTCAACAAAGCAAAGCCTGGCATTGGAAGGGTGACAGTTTATTGCTTATGCTCCGCTGTGCGCTGCTGTTTCCAGACCATCAGACTCCCTTAATAACCTGATATAATAACTGGGCATGATTTATAAAAAGTGGAGAAAACAGAATTGTTTGTCTAGACTGTTCATCTGGTTTCAAATTCCAGCTGTCACTTTTCTACTTCAGCTTAGAAAAGAAAAAGAGAGAAAGAAAAGCACCAGAATAGTGTACTTAAGCTGTTTGGCAAATTGGCAGGTTTGTATAAAGAAAGGTGAAAAGGTGAAATCAGTAGGGAGCTCTGGGTCAGGTTTTTATGATCTTGGAAAGCAAGGTGCCAGCTATGCTTATGTGGAGGTTCTGTACATTAAGACAAGATAGCTGGAGACCAATTTGCCTTTACTTTTTCTTAACCAATAGACAAAATGAAACAACAACTAAAGCTTTGTTTTTGGTTTTGGATGCAGTGGGAAAGTATAATCTTCCCAATACTTAGAGCTTTCAGTCACTGTTCTCCACAGGGATTCCCACCTCCCCTCTCCTCCAGTGCTCATTGGAGGGGCAGTGTCAAAAAGCCAGAACTAGGGTCCCGGTAGGGGCCTTTGCACATATGCTTGGCTTTGCTCAGTCGTGCCCAGCCGTGCGTCTCTGCGCAAACACATCAGCGTTTGAATGTGCGCTCCACCACATGTGCGCAGACATGCACTGCCAGATAATAAGAATTCTGGCTGTTTGGGCTGTGACAGCCCAGCCTCTAGTGCTGAGTGACCATCAGCTTTCTTGTATGTCTAAGATCATGTGTCCTGATTCTGATCATGTTACCAACCCGGCTTGTCTTGACCTGGTACATGCACTCTGTGTTCCTGTGACCTCGGCTTTCCCCTCGACCACCGCTCCTATCTGATGCCTTATACTACATTGTCTGCATTTAATCCATTCCAACCTGCTCCTGACCACGCTCCTGTCAATTGCCTGGTACTACTCTGCCGGCAAGTTAATGACTCGGATTGTATCTGACCACGTCGCATGTAGAATCCTGCTCGCCGGTGTCCATCTCCTGTGCCTGTTTACTACCTGGGGTTTGTCAGCTTCACAGAGACTCATCTCCTCAGCAGAGACGACATCTTCCGGAACTCATGCTACTCTGTGTCTCTGCAACCTGTTCAGCTATTCAGGGGTTCTGGGACTGAAGCAGCAAGGGAGGCCACCCTTGTGACAGACAGGGATAGGCACAGGGAGGGCACAGCTGGCTCTAGAAAGGCAGAGCCAGCTGTCAATCAGGCAGTCATGAGGATCCCAACGATATATGGTGGCATTCTTCCTTGCAGCAGCACGACTCTGTGCTGTCAGCATATAGGGGGCAGTAGCCCACTAGATACTGACTTTAGGTCACAGAAGTAGTAAATCTACTTCTGTGACCCAAAAGAGGAGTAAAGCCAAAGAAAAGGTTTGGTTTTACTTCTCTTTTCAGCTCTATGAGCACTAGAGCAGTAACTTGACTTGAAATATATATCTACATCCTTTAAAGGAAAACTGCGAGATTGTAATATTAACACATCTATCTGTCTTTGTAAATACCAACAAGTATCATATCCTGTGATCCCAAATTCTGTTACGTCTGCTGGAAGTGTTCAGCTGATTTGTACACATACCTCATCATTCTGGATCGAGTCAGGAGACAAACTGATGTGTTGTATGTATTTCTTGATATCACCGATCATCTGTAGAGATAACACAGACGTTTTGTATACAAAATGTAGATATTATACACATAGAAAACAGTTTATGTCATTGAGTGTAAAAAAATTATAAATTCAACACAGTCATAACTGCAGGTATTGCATTTCAAGTGTCCTGAATTTTAGCATCCAAAATGGGGACCGAATGGCCCTTGTTCTGTCCAAATATTAACACATTTGTGGCAATGTTATACTGCATGAGATTGCAGCTCATATTTTTTAATTCTTCAGATCAAAAACATATTTTAGTTTTGGTAATGTACGGAAGGGACAAATCTTCTGTCAGGTATTACTGACCCTGATGAAGGGGAAGTATTGAGACCCCCCCCCCAACATGTTGCCTTTTTCTTGTGATCTCCTGTCATGGGCAATAAAGATGTACTGGACTCACATTTAATTTATGGTGCTCTCATTCTTTTCAGATTTTTAGGTTTTATTACTGACTGTGTGTGGGATTTACTTCTTGTCCTAGACTCAATGTAGATAATGAACAATGTCTCCCAAATGGTGGGCCCAGACGGCATTTAAAGCTTTAAAAGGTTCTACAACACCCCATGCCACTGAAAACAAAATGCATTTATGGTTGTTTGTGTCCCTGTTGCAGAAATGTTCTGTTTCAGCAGCCACACATGAATGAAAGTGAAATAGTCCCAGTAGGTAAACAAACAGCAATAAATGCATGACAAATATCCCTACACTATTAAAGGGGAACTAAGGGGTTAAGGCTTTTCCCCATAGTTCTCCTTAGGGTAACGGGAGGACACAAACTAGCGTCCTCCCGTTACCCTAGGCTCAGTATATTGCGAGCTGTAGCTTGCGGTATACTGAGATGCCGCAGCTGAAGCGGATCCCGACAATTATGTCTGGATCCGCCCAGCTGCATGACTGACAGCTGGCTCTGCCTACCTAGAGGCAGAGCCAACTGTCCCCGCCCCCTCCCCGTCTGTTCCGCCAGTCAGCGCTGGAGGATCGGAGTGGGGAGGGGGGAATCCAGAGCCGTGACAGGTTTGAGAAGTGAGCGATTACCGGTATGTGTTCGCTCACTTCCCGATCTACTGAGCCGACCTGTGACAGTTTCATTGTCACAGGTCGGCTAGAACTATGAGGATGAGTGAAAAGCACTCACCTCATACTTCTCCTTTAAACACAGGTAATTTGAAGCATCACAGATAAGGTTAGCCTGGAAACATGTGAACAGGGGCCCAGAGCCCCAGTTGATAAAACATGAAATATTTATATGCAATATTTTATATTTACCTGCAAAAAAATATATCTTTTACATTTGTTTGTCCTGATCATAATTAACAAAGAACATACATACATACATACATACATACTAGTACACATTCCCATTAATGAAAACAAACACTGAAAAAAACTGCAGAAACAGAAACATACAAACTCTATACAGACAGTGCTGCTGAAAAGTATTAAATCTAAGACCCCAACCACAATACCTTCTCTGTTAGGTGTGAGATCATGTTCTTTGCTTCTCTCTGCATGTCTGTGTCAATGTTTTGCAGCTGCGTGCTCATTGCTTTCTGCACTTGCTGCTTCACTTCCGACCCACACGGTTGTTCCACTGCCGGCTCCAGAGATTTGCAGTCCAGGTCTCTCATGACGTTGCTCATGAATTTGCGTACATGCTCAATGTTGTTCAGGATAATGCACAGCTGAATTAATAAAGTTAGGTATGTATTGAAAAAGGTCCGATAAGATTTTACGCTGAATGCTGTCGCTTAAAAACCAAGAAAAGATGGAGTTGAAGAGCATAGAAAATATACTTCTTTCCTTTGCTCCTCAGCTCCATCTAGTAGCCAAAATGTAGTATTACATCATAATACATTCGACCTGAATGGAAAATATATGAAGTTTGTTTTTGCCATTATTAACACAAAGCAAACATTCACAGAGGCCTGCAAATTGTTTATAAATAGACCCCATACATTTTATGGATGCCAGGTGCTGGACATGTAAATTCGTTGTATTTATTGCTTTTTTTTAGCTCCTCATGTAAAAATACTGCTTTTTAATTTAAAATATAAATCAAATTATTGTTGCTTGCTATACTGCTTTATATTATATATTACATTATTAGGTTTAAATACAGTGAGATATATATACAGTGAGTAAAATAATGATTTGATCCCCTGCAGATTTTGTAAGTTTGCCCATTTGCAAATAAATGAAAGGTCTATAATTTTTATCATAGGTGTATTTTAAATGATAGAGACAGAATATCAACCAAAATTCCAGAAAAAAACACATGATACAAATGTTATAAATTGATTTGCATTTCAGTGAGTAAAATAAGTACTGATCCCCTACCAACCAACAATAATTCTGGCTTCCACACACTGGCTATGTGGTACACAGATTAGTCAATTTAAGAAGGTGCTCCTAACAACAACTCGTTATGTTTATAAAAGACACCTGTCCACAGAATCTCTTTCTTCCATTCAAACCTCACCGCCATGGGCAAGACCAAAGAGCTGTCAAAGGAGGTTAGGGGAAAGATTGTAGACCTGCACGAGGCTGGAATGGGCTACAAGACTATCAGCAAGAAGCTTGGTGAGAAGGAAACAACTGTTGGAGAGATTAATCGCAAATGGAAGGAATACAAAATAACCATCAATCGCCCTCGGTCTGGAGCTCCATGCAAGATTTTGCCTCATGAGGTAAGGATGATCATGAGAAAAGTGAGGGATCAGCCCAGAACTACATGGGAGGAACTTGTGAATGATTTTAAGGCAGTTGGGACCAGAGCCACCATACAAACCATTGGTAACACAATACACCGCCATGGATTGAGATCCTGCAGCACCCGCAAGTTCCCCCTCCTCAAGAAGGCACATGTACAGGCCCGTCTGAAGTTTGCCAATGAACATCTAAATGATTCAGAGAAGGATTGGGAAAGTGCTGCGGTCAGATAACACAAAAATTTAGCTTTTTGGCAATGCTGACTATGACTCTAAGAACACCATCCCTACAGTCAAGCACGGAGGTGGAAACATTATGCTTTCGGGCTGTTATTCTGCTAAAGGTACAGGATGACTTTGCCGCATTAAGGAGCCAATGGTCGGGGCCATGTATTGTAAAATCTTGGATGAGAACCTCCTTCCCTCAGCCAGAACACTGAAGATGAGTCGTGGATGGGTCTTTCAGCAAGACATTGACCCAAAACATATCGCCAAGGCAAGAAAGCAGTAGCTCAAGAAGAATCACATTAAGGTCATAGAGTGGCTCCAGACCTTAATCCTATAGAAATTTTATGGCGTGAGCTGAAACTGAGTTGCCAAGCGACAACCAAGAAACCTTTAGGATTTAGAGAAGATCTATACAGAAGAGTGGACCAAAATCCCTCCTGAGATGTGTGCAAACCTGGTAACCAACTACAAGAAACGTCTTAAATCTGTGCTTGCCAACAAGGGTTTCTCCACCAAGTACCAAGTCATGTTTTGCTTGGGGTTTCTAACATTTGTAACTCAATTTCTAACATTTGTAGCATGTGTTTTTTCTGGATTTTTGGTTGATATTTTGTCTCTATCATTTAAAATACACCTATGATAAAAAATTATAGACCTTTCATTTGGGCAAACTTACAAAATCTGCAGGGGATCAAAAAATGATTTGCCACACTGTGTGTATATATATATATCCACACGCGCACACAGACACACACACACACACACACACACACACACATATATATATTAGTAATGCACAATACAATTGTAATAAAATTAAGATGTCATGGTGTCTCCTTTGTTTCAGGGTTAAATGTAGTACACAAACAAGTGTACAACACCTAACATTATACATTGTAAGGTTTTATGAACATGCCTGCCAGATTATATTGAATATATCATATAAGCCATAGTCATCCAGTGTTGTGCTCATTTTAGCTAAAGGATTAAAATGACTTTTAATGTCTTTTAAGTAGGGCTGTTGCTGATTAAAATGTTCGTGTTCGATTAATCGAAAACATTTTTAATCGATTAATATATAGCACATACAGATCCAACTACACTGGCCTATACACATACAGCACAGCAATGAAGTAATAAAATGAACTAGGATCACACTAATCCAGCACTTTATTCATCTCACGTGCCCCACTCAATATGGCCGCCGCTTGAGTGGGGCAACTCAGAATAATAACGTGCTGGATTAGTGTGATCCTAGTAATTTTATTACTTCATTGCTGTGCTGTATGTGTATAGGCCAATGCTTTGGAGTTTGGTCCACACTGACCAGCTGAGGAGATTGTAGAAGAAAGGTTCAATGTCAATTGGCAGGCTGCACAGTGATGTTTCCTTTACATGTAAGTATAATCTATTTAAAAATTGATAGGGCAGAACAAGTTTTTTGGGCAAATGTCAGCTAACGAAGGAAAGAGGGGAGGAGTCCGGTGACGTCACGGACATCGACGTCACCGGACTCCTCCCCCCTTCCCTTCGTTAGCCGACGGAGCCACTTCGGGAAGGTGGGAGGAGTTCGGTGACGTCGATGTCCGTGACGTCACCGGATCTCCGACAGGACTCTCAGAAGCCGGCGGAGAGGTGAGTGTTTTCATTAGCGATCAAAAAAATGTTAATCGATCAAAAAGATTAACGATTAATCGAGGAATTCATCATTAATTTGCACAGCCCTACTTTTAAGGCACTACAAATATGTAAATTAAGTTTAGGACTGAGATGTTGCACTGGGTTTCTCTATCAGACACAAGTATTTTACAGTAAGGAGTAATCCAGAAGACTTTTAACTCTTCACTCATACCTTACCTGCTCTGTGACAACAGCCTGCCCCGCTGACTGATGACTTCTGTCGACATTCCGCTTAATAGCTTCTGAATAATAGATTGCTGCTTTGCATATATCCTAACATGCAAAATGGCAACATAAAAACAGTAACAATTATTTGAACATCCCTTATAACAGTTTACACAAAACATAGATTCTCCTTTGGTGATTCAATTAACTGATAATTTATTAAGGATTTTGTAATGTAATAAGTAAAATTATATACATGTCTCAGTTACATAGATTTAAAAGATTGAGCTGTGTCTGGACATTAATTGAAGAAGAGATGTGCAAGAATGATACCGTTGGGCTGACTTACTATAGAAGCTGAGAATCTTCACACAATAAGTTATGTGAATATTTACTTCAAATATGCAATCACGTGAAAAGCAACTTCCTGTTCACTTACCCAATCATGCGCAGATACTTTTCACATGATTAAATAATTGAAGAGATTTCCTAGCTCGCAGAACAACAATCTCAGCACCAACAGACTGAGTTTGATCGTCACTGAGGCAGGATTATTATTATTATACAGGATTTATATAGCACTTTCAGTATATCAGGTAGTCTTGACGGCAAACAAGAGCTCCAACTTAGAAAATAGTGTATATTATTATTATACAGGATTTATATAGCGCCAACAGTTTGCACAGCGCATTACAATATAAGGAAGACATTACAATACAATTGAAGACAAAGTGGTAAGGAGGGCCCTGCCCCTGAGGGCTTACAATCTAAAGGGAGGGGGAAGTGATGCAGGGTGGCTCACAGCAATGGGAAGGCAACATTTTACAGGTGAGTTATTGGGTAGCTTTTTCTTCTACTTTAAACTGGATTATGGTTTGTAAAATGTGTCGCCTTCTATAAATACCACCAAAAGAAAGCTCTATCTGTCCCCAAAAAAGGGTATAAAATTCATTTCAGTACAGCGCTGCATGACGGAATAAATGTCAGTCAAAGTACCGCAGCGCTGAATACTGAAAAATGGCCTGGATGGGAAGGGGGTTTAACACCGCGGATGTCAACTGGTTAAATAGACATAAGTTTTAAATCTGACCATTTTTTTGTTACCGACCTGGAAATCAGGGGAAAATGAGGTTGGCCTGGCCTTATCCATAAACAGGTAAGCTCTAGTCCCTCCTTTTTGATTGTAAGCCCTCAGGGGCAGGGCCCTCCTTGCCATCTTGTCTTGAATAGTATTGTAATGTCTTCCTTATATTGTAAAGCGCTGCGCAAACTGTTGGCGCTATATACATCCTGTATAATAATAATATACACTATTTTCTAAGTTGGAGCTCTTGTTTATCATGAAAACTACTTGATATACTGACAGTACAATTTATGGCTATACAGGAGAGAGGAGAACAGTCTCAATTTAAGCTCAATCTGGTGGAAACAAAGGCCATCATTCAAAGTTTATAGATCTATCTGATCACCTTCTACCCTTAAGCTGCCCCATAGTCATGAGTTCACCCCCAAATGCAGCTAAAAATAGCCCAATCAGGAAATGATTATCTCATATTTATGGGAACCGTACGCAAGTACCTTTAGCCACCTATAGACCTGTAATAGCGGTTGGACAATCTGACTTCCCCTGAGCAACATGATTGGCAGAGGACCCATAAACATGACAGCTCGGTTTGCTTGAGGATCATATACAGTATGTTGCTATACAGAGGTGGAAAAGTTTTTTTGCAGAGTTGGTTGGTATTCCCGGTTCTGCTTATATCATAGGGGAACAACAAAGGTCTTGCTTGATTTTCTAACCTTGTGCCAACCTGGGACCATTCTATTCTGCTGGGTTTTTTATTTGTGGTTTCTCATTTTTATGCACATCATAGATTATGAAAAAGTGTTTATTTCCTGCATAGAATTCTACACATTGAAACATAATCTGGTGGACCAAAGGATGGTAAACCAAATTACAAGTTACCTTTGATAAACAATCCATCGGTATGCTAACCTGCTTACTTCAAAATATTAGTCGGTACACATTGTTTTATTGTACGTTTGTTTCAGAACTTACATCTGAGAGCTGTGTTAAAAACACAAATGCCTCGGAGGAGTTCGGCCAAGCAAGCTGTGCCCAGAACTCTTTGATTTGTGAGAAGCAGATTGTGACATCAACTGCAGAACTGCTGTGCTTGGACAGAGAATCCACATACTCAAGCTGTGAGAACAAGACGAAAATGCTGAATTAATCAAGCTGCATGGTATTTATGAGCCACCAACACAAGAAGAAAGGTCCAACAAATACTAGCACTGTTGCATAACAATAATTAACATTAAAATAAACACAAATCTAAGAAGAACTAAATATATATAGTTTAATTCAGTAATATACTTGCAGGGGAGAACAATATACAATATCAGCGAGAAATAATCAAAATCATTATTGACAGATATTATGCATGCCTGTTGTACTAAAGAATATCTGTCCCGAGCCATTTAATTGTAGATTTATCTTGATTTCTTCTACACTTTCTCTTGAGACAAGTACTGACAGGAAACTGGGATGACAGGCAGCCAAGCCAACTGATAGACCTGAACGAAATCACCATGGAAAGGAATATACTTCTTAAAAAGACACCTAGCTGTATTTGGATTTAACAAAAAGATCTATTAGTGCTCCAAAGCTATCTATCCAAAACAATTAGTTCAAATAGAGTTTGAAAGGTTAGATCCTCCGCCAGGATTTTATTGCAGTCTGCGTCCCTACTGGGGAGATTTCAATTAGTTCCTGTCTTGGTGACATGGGTAAAGGAACCGAGGAAAACTAACCATTCAAAAAGTGAAAAAAAATTGCCTGGAGTCTAAGTCAGGATTATTCTTCAATATGAAGGCCTGCAGCAATGTAGTTGAATGATTGACAGTAACAGAAAAGGGCCAGCAGCAAAACTGACAGGTTCTCTTTGTCGTCCGTCATTCATTGCAATACTGTCCAGTCTGATGAGATGCCACTTTTCCATCCTGTCATCTGCACAAATCTCTGCTGGGATATATTATAAATCAAACCATATTCTGAGGGGGTGACTATGTCTAAAAGGATTACAAAGTGCCAGACAATTCCATATAGGTGAGATGCCCCGATAAGGGCATTTTTGCTCTGATTACTGCGTGGTGGTGCTGCACTGTTCCTCCCTTTCAAAGCAAGAATATAATTCTGCTTAGACTGATAGAAAACTATGCACTCTCAAAGTGATTAAGATTTTAAGGCTGATTTATTAAAGATCTTGAAAATGTTCACACACTAAAATGTGTGGAGATTCTTCTTAAAAAGACACCTAGCTGTATTTGGATTAATCATTTTACATCCAATTATGTAAAACGAAAATCCCTGTTTACTTATTATTAAGTGCCTTAGTGAATCAGCTTTTTTTCTACCAGCAGTTGATCAGCAGGGAAATTAAATCCCCTAAAAACAGCATATAGCGGTCACTCATGAGTGCATGACTTTGCTGCCATGCATTCTTTCTAAAAGGACCGTAGACCAGCATGCAATTTTACATTAGGCTGACTTGCATATTTGTATTTGTGGGGAAGGGAAGGGGAGTGCTGCCCTGTCTTAGGGGCACTATAAGTGATCAGCCAGCACAATTCACCCTTGCTGATGAGCTTTCCACCTGGCTCAGCTAGATCAATGCTCCCTGATTCAACAATAAATGGCCAATTCCAGCAAACAATCTGTAATATCTGCAAACACCCTTAAACTGTCCAGAAACTTAAGAAGATGGTCAATCATGTGGACACAATCTGACATCCCACAGCACAAAATCACCTCAGTGTTGTAGAGTATTCTATTAACTAACCAGCTGGATTTGGTTGAACTTACAAATAGCTTTAATAGAGCGGGAGAAGAGTGTAGAGGCATGTTGGCATTGGCTCATCAAGGGGAATAATAATGACTGGGACAGGTTTTCTGGCTGCAGCTGGCCTGAAGGCTCAGACGCCAGACTAGGTGTCAGTCATCTCATGTGTATACCCACCCTAACTAATTGCAGTAACACATAGGCCCCATTCACACACGAATCGGCCGGCACGTACAGCTCCGTGCTGCGTGCTGGGCCATACCAAACAGCTGCCGGGAAGGGCAGGTGCTGCGTGGGATTAGTGCGCAGCCCCCGTCCTTCTCTATGGGGCTACACGGACGTATGCCCCCCTACGCTCACCTCAATTGGACGCATACAGGATCCATTCCGGCGGCGTATGAATACGATCATCCGCACCCCTACGGACCTGCAATTGTGCTGAGCGTAGGGGGGCGTACGGCTGCGTAGCCCCATAGAGAAGGACGGGGGCTGCATACTAATCACACGCATCACCTGTCCTTCCCGGCAGCTGTTTGGTACGGCCCAGCACGGAGCTGTACGCGCCGGCCGATTTGTGTGTGAATGGGGCCATATAGTCACTAGGTGGAAAGTTGGATCAAATGTTTCTTTAAGGTAAACATAATAATAAGTACATGCTCACTGCATATACATTATTTTTTAATTTAATGTGGACCTAAACTCAAATAGTGAAGATTTCCTGATAGGGAATGTTATAGGAAACAGCTAAAAGTGTTAAGTGTGCCTAAGTAGTATCTGAAAAATTGACATTTCTGCCTTGAATTTCAACTAAAAACAGCATTGAATTTCCTGGTATGTGAGAGTGCCTAGGTCCTCTGTTGCAAAAATGGCACTCGGTGTGTAAAAGGTTGCTGACCCCTGTGTTACGCTATTAGCGTTGCAAGAAAGCTGTGGTCTCATGGGGGCTTTGCAGGATTTGTGGTGAGCTCTGCGAGGTCTATGGTGGGCAGAGCCCACCACAGATCCTGCACAGCCCCCTGATACCCTGAAGAGCCCCCTACAGATCCTGTACAGACCCCCTGTTGGATCTCAGGGGGGCTGTGCAGGATCTGTAATGGGCTCTGTAGACCCAGCAGAGCCCACCACAGATCCTGCAAAGCCCCCCTGAGACCCGGCAAAGCCCTCCACAGGTCCTGCAGAGACCCCCTGAGACCCTGCAGTCTGCTGGATCACCGGCAACGGCTTGGCCATGAAGGGAACAGAGATTTAAGTTTTAGTTGATAATGAAGAGTCAAATACCCGAGTTCTTTACAACTCTCAGGCAGTCTGAAGGTAAGATGTGCATTCCAGATGTGTACACCTGCAGCACCCTTTACAATGTTGTTTCAGCAACAATAATGTGAGAAGTGCAGAAACCCATGGTAACCATCAGTTAGGACAATGGAAGAAGGTTGCCTAGTGGGTGCTATGTGCTACAGCATTTTGCACTTTATTTACAGCTTTTCCCTTACATAGTTAAACAGTTAAAGCTTGAAAAATGACTGGTGTACATTAAGCTTAACCCTTTACAAGTTCATAGCTTTGTTCCAGAGGAAGTCAGAGTAAAAGACTACAAAGTCTACTTTAAATTCGGCAGTCTAAACTTATCCTTTACCACTTATTAAAGATAAATCCGCTTAAAATAAATCAATAACCCCTTTATTCCTGCTGAATAAAGCAGACCAGTTAGTTATTTGATAAGCACATCTCTGAAAAATGTCCATCTAGTTGCAAGAGTGAAGCAAAAAAAAAAAAGCCTAATCAAAGAAATTCCAATCATGTTTTCTTTTTCTTGATCTCTCTTCTGTACTTTACACTAGTTCCAAATGTATCCTTCGTTGCTTAAATATGAAAAAGCCACTGTCCCCGGGGGAACTTAGAAGATGAAGAATCAGCAGCATGCTAAGGGTTCCCGATGTGTGAACTCAGACTTTTATGTTTGTTTTAAGCCAAGTCATTGGTTTTCTTTTACAAATTGTGTGGCACCCAGCTTCTGGCTGCAACATCTGTGAAGATGCAAGTAAGAAACAAAATCTGTATGTTGCTGCAAGGGGCTGATAGAGTAATCAAATACCCAATCCAGAAGTTCTCAGATATTTTACAGGAATCAATGTAACCTATTATTAAGTTATTCTGGCCATTTGTGGTAAGATTGGGTGATGTAAATGTTTGGTGCCTCAATTTTCTAGATCTGTTAAAGAACATGGAAACATTTGGATGACTGATGTGGTCATCGAGCAACCAAATTTTCCATCCAAGCAGATACTCATCAGGAAAGACATACATATTTCAGATTGGACCTTGAGTTCTTTATTCATACTCAGACATAAAAGGCTAAAGTTATATAAGGTAGGGAAAATCTGAAGAAATTGGCTATTAACTTCTTTCCATAGTTTTCTAGGAAACAGGAATATCACTCAGGAGAAAAGTCATCTGACCATCACCAGCACTTAAAGTAACACTAAACGCAGGAGTTAAAACTTAAAAATGTATTCAAGTACCTTAACTATTAACAAAAATTTAGCTTATTGGTGTATCACTCAGCTGTAGATCCTTCAATTATCCCTGAATTGGTGCTGACACTGTCCTTCCTTCTGGAGGGGGGCTACTTTTCTTCCCCACAGTCCCTGTGTGTGTTATGAAGTAGCCACCGCTCCAAGCTCAGTCCCATGATGGTCTACAATCTCAATACAAATAAGTAAACTAAATATGAGATTGTAGTCCATCACGGGAGCAAATTGGAGCAGTGGCTGATTTACAACATATTTTGTGCATTTGCATGTGCACTTTGTGGGTACAAAGACTGTGGCAAATAAAAAAATGTATACAGTGAATATGCCCATGTTTTTTTTTCCATCCCCATTGAAACCACTCCCATTGTTTGACAAACCTTGCCACTCCCAAAGTTTCCTTCACCACCTGAGCAATGGCCCTGGGCATAACAGCCTATTCTGGTGGGGTGTCTTGCCAATAGCCCAGAAGATTTGCAAACAATGCGAAAAAAATTCCAACAATGCAAAAAGAATGTTACATTTATTTAAAAGTAAAGATCAATCTCTGCCCTGCTGCACTAACAAATTAGAGCAGGACAAGGAAATTGCAGAGCACAAAAAACATGTGATGAGAGACTAAAGACCCATCAGAAACTGCTTAATTGGCTGGATTGGTTTAATTCTAAAGCTCACCACATGTTACAATCAGTAATGTGATATATATGTCCTTGGAAGACAACTAATACAAAGCCTGAACAATCTGTAATGCAGATATATGTTACAGTTTATAAACACACACATGACCTTATTACCTTATCAGCCTCTACTGCTCGAAGTATTCTCTCACAGGTCTTTTCATGCACAGTCTGTAGACATGTATGGATGGACACTTTAAACAAATCATGGAACCCTGTCAAAGCCAGTGACTTGTTGTCTCTGTGAAAAAATTGTGGAGTAAGGCAAATATCACAACCGGAAAGGTATTATTCTGACTGTATTATTCAGAGGATTACTCTAGGCAAAACTTCAATAACAAATACACACCGTGAATGGTTATTAAAAAGCAACTAGACCCAAAGCTAATTTCACAACAGCATGGCTTTACCATTGCCTGTGACCTCAGCAAGGAGATCCCCCTCCACCCAAGATAAGCTAAAAACCTGCTTTTTCATCATACTGACTTATGTGAGTTCTAGCATTTTTTCTATTTGAATACATGGAGAGTTCACAGCCAGTGACAACAAGTTGGCTGAAAACCCAAACTCTGCCAAGACTATGACAGGGTGAGGGAAGATCCCTCTGTGATTGCCTTGAACAAAGGTAAATTCCACTCTAAATTAAAATTGAGAAATCCTTTAACCTGTGTCTGCTTTTGGATAGTGGTTGAAGAAAAAGTGCTACATCACAAAGGTTTGAAACTATAACAGAAAATGTCTGCAATACAATTCTACATTGTTCTTGGCATTAATTAGTAATTGCAAACATTGTAATTCCTTCAACAGTAAAAGCCTCCTGTTATCTTCTGCACTGTAGAACTTAGTTTGGAAGAGGCATGACTTAAGCTAGACATATACCAATAGAATGTTGTTAAATGTTCAGTTTAAGAATGTACATTCAATTTTCTAATGGTTACCGGGGTCTAATTGATGTTTGTTTTCGGCCATTGTGACAAGAAAAATCATGCAAGATGGAAACTTTTTCTTGCTTCAAAACAATTAGGCGTGCTGCGGGCAAATATATTGACAAGAAACATGATAACAGGAGGAGGAGAGAACAGTCTAGTTAGTGTTCTCATCTCTCAGCTCCTTTACTGTCCAATTACAGATGTTGCTTAACTACAGTGAAGAAAAAACCATGCCACCAGGCAGGGCATAAGTCCAGGAGACCATTATCAACATGCAAACATCACACCAAAATTAACAAATTAGTAAAAGCTACGTACTTTAAGGGTAGATAGTCGCGAAACCGCCTTAGTTCATTGAGACTGATATAAAGTTCAAACAGCTTTTCCCCAATATTGTGGGTAACATGAGGCTCTTCATGCTCTGATGTCTTTAGGTTTTCCATTACAATGCTCACTTCATCAGCCACCTTTAAAGAAAAAGATCATCTAACATGCAAAAGCTGATTGTGTCCCAGACATTTCTTATAAAAAAAACAGTAGTCATGTGCAGAGCCTTACAATAGTATTAGCCACTCTTTGGTTTCATTCTGTTAGCACAGATATTGCATTAAATTGATTATAGCGAAGGATAAAAAAAATAATTGAATTTGTTGACTTGCATGCTCTTTACCCACATTTTGGCTCTAAAATATATTGTGTCAAAAATATACAATGAAATAGGAGAAGGTAAACACCTTTTCACAGCACTCTATGCTAACACTAATGCTGCCACTTACTGGCTCTGTATTACCGGAATTATTTTTACCACTGGTTTGGGCACAGCAATTCTCACATTCATTTAAGATGCACCACTAGCCAACAGTAACAAAAAGTTGCCTAGAGATTTCCTGCATAATAATGGTCTGCTGCTGCTAGTGCCAGTTCAAGGTGTAAAAGAAACATAGTGTAAGATCACTGTATAAGGCAAGAACTATTGTGTGTGTGTGTGGGGGGTGCTGAGGGGGAAGACTTTTTTTGCAATCTACCTCCCCCCAGGTATTTAGAGTGCAGCATTACTCGATTTTGCATAACAAAGATGAATCATTTAAAAAGTTACAAGAGAGATCAGGTGATAAAATGTATTGTATGGAACTGCTTCAATTCTAAATCATTAGAGAACAAAGCCCATTATGATAGTTAAATTCACAAGCACTTATTATTATCCTGTAATGAGGATTGAGCTAATGGCATCAATCATTAGAATTTGGTGTATGGTTAGGTTAAAGTGAACCACTTCCACCTGCTTGCATGTGACATCAATTTTCATTTTCAGCTCGAAGGGTGCTGGTGATGGTTAGTTGACAATTGGACCTACTATCAATAAGACATCTGATTAATATTTGCAAGGTGGTGCGATGCAGTATTCTTGGCATCCTGGCAGCCACCCCCACTGCATAATACTGCACCTTACAACCAACTGCCTACTTTATATTATGTATATTGGAAAAGGGTCACCGCTACACACGCTAGAATTATTTAGAAGCACACTACTTGTTCCAATATAATAAGAAACAATATAAGATGTGAGGTCATATTAGGTACACATGCCCCTAATTACACCTCTATTGTACCAAAAAATGACTTACCAGTTTTTCTAGCTGCCGGTAAGTGATGCTAAAGTAATCCACCTTGACAATGCTAAGGAGAGAGGAAATACTAGTCACTATACATACATACATACATAATCTTAAGGTGACCACACATAGGTCAGAGTTTTATACAACACAAGATTTAAAACAATTAATTTTTCCATAGGGTGTAACAAGGACACTCCACTGTAGTCAGGAAATGCAAGTAAAATGCAGTTTATTAAGGGCAAAAAGTCTCTTTCCATCAACAGGGTAGACCTCCCCTGTTACATAAGACAGCTTCCAGCAGCAACATAAATGATAGTCCTTTGCTCACACAATGGCCAACCATTCATGCATTTTTTATCATAATCAGCTTTCTTCAGCACATACAGTCCTTAGTATTGCTCAGTAGCTTTACTCAGCTCCAAGCCTCTCAGCACACCTCTGTGTGATACTCACACTGCTCTACCAGCAGTGCGTCCAACAGGTCCCTTGGGCCACCGACCTTCCTGACCTCTCCCAGCCTCCCCCGGCTGTTCCACGTGCGTCCAGCACGTACCTGAGCCTGCCTGTGTCTGTGTGCCTCCTGCACACACACAACTCCAACACACCTCTCTCTGAGCTCTGGGCTGGTTTCTTAATGAGGCTGCTCTCAGCCACCTGATCAGCCCAGGCTGGTCATTGGCAACACCTGGCCCCAGGACTGGAGAGCTCATCCCACCCAGAGCTCTGAGAGATCTCCAGGTCCCAGCTACAATTAGGAAAACCTGGAAGAACCTGAAAAGCCAGACTCTTCCTTATAACATGGCTCACATTCTAGACCCTCTCTGCCCCTTTGACTGAGAGTCCTGGGTGCCAATTCACCATACTACACCGTGGCATTGCCATGCACTGCCACAAGGGGAACAATAACAAATGTATTTATTGGTGGGTTTTTGTGTAAAACTTACCTGTCAGTACTGATCCCAGGACTAGAGGGTAAAAAATCAGGACATTTATATTTCATCTTTACAGTTTCTGCTAACATAGGAGTACTTATCTGCTCCGTTTAGGGACATAATAGTAGAAATAAAATGAAATGTTTACTGAGCCGCAAATATTTTGAAACATTATAGCATTACTACTTGTGTAAAACCGAACTGTGGAAATTCACAACCAAATGTCTTCAACAACTGACCCTGTCACTCTGATTGCCAGCAAAGGGCATCTCTGAGCCCATCATCATGTTTTTGGTATGGATACTACATATGAATGCTGATTCCAGGGAACTCACCCAACAAACAGCTTGTTGTACACATTCTGGCTTTTCTCCACGTCTTCATGGACAGCATCTGCCAACTTTACCAAACACCTTAGCTGATCCACATCGTTCTGAAATACAGAAAATGCCAGTATAAATAGTGTGGACAAGTGTTATCTAAAGTGTGTCTGCTCTATTTTATTCCCAAATAATTGCTTTCTTTTTGGCATTGTGTATTTGTGGGGTTTAGAGCAAGGTCAAGCCTACTATGGAACAAGTAGTCATTCCTGTCTTAGGCTGCACCCTCTAGAGGGCAGCAAGGAACACAGCACTGTCTCAATGGGTGAGAGCTAGTAAAGGGTTGAAAGGGATCGCTTTACTAGTTTACTGCACATACCAGTCAGATTGCAATTATTCGCCCAGTGGAAAAATCCCAGCCCCCATTCTGTCTGAGTCTGAGTATATTTCCCGAATTTTGCTTCTGATACATGACTGAACTGAGTGCTGCCTTAAAAATTCTCCAAAATTCTACCAGGATATGAAATATGACACAGTCAGAGTTGTTGATTTTAAAACTGAACTCCAGGCAAACAGCTAAATCCACAGATGAAATACATATACAAGTGTTGATTTACCTGCAAATGGATTTGTATTTATGTCCATTGAGTCCTGAGATTTACACAGCTCTGCCACCCTGTCCTGGCTAGGGAGGAGACCTGATTTTTCTCTGCTGCAGTCTCAACTTTTCTTACCAGCCTCCTCCTCCTGAACAGTGATAGGAGAAGCAGCACATTGAGGAGCTCATCTCTTGCTCTGTTACTCTGCTCTTGTTCTGTTCTTTCCTCCTATAGTCATGATCCTTTCACTGGAGCACCTCTGATACCAGGTCAAATTTAGGTACTTGCACAACTTGCATTTAAAATAAATACATTTCATGATGTATTAATGATTAGAGAGCTGCATTATTCTGTGTCATTTATATCTGCCTAGAGTTCAGCATTAAGCCACTCATAGGCACTCCAGACTTGAATTTGTGATATTAATTAGTGCTGTACTCTTCCCCTCTCATTTTATAAATTAGAAAAGGCACTCTGTGGTGATGAGTTAACTATTGCTTATGTACTGATTGTGTGTAGAAGGTGATGGGAGTTCTATATGAAGCCAATGTATTAGTATTTACACATAGCATTAATGTGATCAAATTTGTAATGAAAACAGAATACATGATATAGGCTAAACCATTTTGTATTTACTTGCTTTGGGTTCTTTAATGAAAAGGACAGCAGTAAATCTTGGGACTCACCTTTTCTTCAGGTTTGCAGGACATATATGCCTTTTCATACCATTCTAGTGTGCCTTTCTGAAAAACAGAAACTAAAGTCAATGATTTGGTAAATTAATCCCTCACAGACTCATTCCTTTCACTGAAAGCCAGCATTTAACTAAATAGATATTGTAGAAAAGGCAGGACCACCTCTTACTCAGCTCTGCGTGACTTCTGAGTCTCTAACCAATCTAAAATTATTAGGTTCATGTCATTTGAGGAGAGTAAATAGCAAAGTCAATGAGCTCCACACTGGACAGTGCGGAGGTGCACATTGGATATTATATTGAAGTGTACAAAGAAAACATTAATGCAAATACATACAATGGCACGCAGGGGTCTATTCATCTGGTCATAGCTGGGCTTTCTTTGGCAGTAAAATGAGGCGATGTTAGCTCAGTAGTTAATGGAAATGTGAACAAACATGGATGTAAAAGCAAGGATACACACAAAACAAAATGTATTTCATTGCAAATGTATGCTTCATTTCACTTTCCCTCATAAAGGCAGATACTTTAACACTCTCGTGGCTGAATGTGCCATTAAATGATTCTAAACTTTTGGTGGTGGAGTGCAAACACAGTAAAGATTCCAAATAAATCGAATGAAAGCTGAGACAGCTTTCTTCTGCCTGGTGGATCCAGAACGGGGTCCCTGGGAGAGTCAATGTGTATACAGTGATAGGATAAAAAAGGATTGGTCCAGATATGAATTTTAATTTGTCACAATAAAAGGGTCTAACATCCAATTTAAGGAAACATGGTAAAGGTTCTAAACCAATTACATGATTTTTTTTAGCACAACTAGGTTGGCTAATGAGGATCCTAAACCATGCATGCATGAAATCATTATTTTTTTTTAACACAAGTTCTTTATCTAGCAGAACTCTAAGTAAATGGAAACATTGCTTTCAAATGTTCCGACTCAAGATTCAAACCAGGACTTTCTCTCCTCCTCCTATAGCCTGTTTACCTACCATTATGTCCCCAATACAGACTTATGGGAGCATGCTGGAGCACAGTTGGCAGAGTAAAAATTTAGCACTGCATGCTAGGTATTCATTCTCTCACAGCACTCCTTTATGGTGTTAAATTTCAATCAGTCCAATTGTACTCCATCACACTGTACTTAGAAATGTGAAAGCAGAGCCTTTTAGAAGGTAAACTGGCAGTTTTCTTAACTACACAGTTTGTTTTTTTTACCAGGTTTTCCTGGTACAGAAAATATGTTCACAAATAACTGCAAAAAAACAAATGACATCAGGGACAGTATTAAGTCCCAAATGAAATAAAAACAATTCTAAGTTTTGGATAGAGTGGGGAAGACTTAAACTTTCTGTTACCTCCTTATCAGTAGTAAGTTTGGTAGTGTGAAGAGAGCACTACATGTATGTTGACAGTCCAGATTAATTTAAATTTGTCATAAGAGTAAAAAGGGATAGCATGTTTTGGGGGCTTAACCCATCTCCCCTTACAAATAACATATAACACATTTATCAATATTGTGCTTACAGGAGCCCCAAAATATGATAAATCTGGTACAATATATCAAGTAATGACGTGACTGCATGAACAGTGCTGATAAATGTTTTATGGTACTTGCAGCCCTGATGAAGGGAGATCAGAAAAGACATGGTAGTGATCCTTTTTCTCTTATAACAAATACAAATTTAACTGGAATCTCAACCATATGCTTGGTGCTCGTTTTATTCTACCAAACTACAACTGACAATCTGGAGACCAATTCCGGCCCATTAAATCCTAGAGAGCAGCTTCTCAACTGAAATATCAACAGATCTAAAGGTGGCCATATACTGTGCGAAATTCGCACAGTGGGTGCTGCTGTCACCTTTTCGACCGGCATCCCTTGTTCAGCTAAACAAGAGAGTTGGTTGTAAAAACTTCAAACGAACAGTACCAGCAGCCAATGAGCTGCCGATTCTGTTCGGGCATTTTGACAGCGGCCTCAGACTACAATGTAAACAGCAGGCGATTCCTCCATCAACGCTCGTAAGCGTTAATTAAGGAATCTGTAAAAAAATAGAGCAGTGTATGGCCAGCTTAAATACCTACCTACATTTCTGAAACTTTGATCCAGTGCTCCACCTACATATCTTTATTTATGTTACCTCATTGTGGATATTCTCCTACATTTCCTGCCTCTGTGACACCTGTTCATGTAGTCACAGAGAAAAAACGGTACACACAGCAATGACAAAATTTATATAAAGTTTATACAATTGTACAGGTGTATAAATACAGTATACATGGGAAACAATGTATTTGTGTATAGTTAGGATTAATTACAGTGTATGTAACGTATAGTGCTATCTAACAACCCACCAATGGCCGATACATATAGGTATTTATTTTCAAGAAAGTGCATACATGCACCTATTTGAGTGTTCCTGTGATAGAATAATACCTTTAAGACAGTTGCAATTTCCAGATGCAGTTCATTATGAAAGGGGCAGACCGTCTTAAACGCTTGCATATTTTGGATTTGGCTGAGGCACCTGCAGCAGGCGAGAACAAGGAGTGAGCATGACTGTACCTTCACATTTCTGCAGCACAATATTAATACAGCTGAGAGTCACCTTAGCATGAATTCCAGGCGTCTAATGACTGTTGTGTTGAGGACAGGGAAATTGTCCCTTAGCTTCTTCAGCAGTAAGAGACAATATTCTGTGAAGAGCATGAAACTTTCAGCTAAGCTATCCTCCTGCAATACAAAACAAAATAAGATCTAGGGTTAGGTTAATGCAGAGACCTTCTGAGAAACTGTTTACATATTAAAAGAGCTGGTACATACTATACAATTCAGACTTTTACAAATTGTATCCAACAGTTCAGATGTTTTATCTCAAAATTATAATATGACATAAAAAGAGTTTGGATAATAAAATACATCTATATATACACTGATCAGCCCACCCACCCAATATTGAGTAGGTCACCCTTTTGCCGCCAAAAACAGTCCTGACACGTTGAGTCTAGACTCCCCTAGACCTCTGAGAGTATGCTGTGGTATCTGGCACCAAGCCGTCAATAGCAGGTCCTTTAAGTCCTGTAAGTTGCAAGGTGGGGCCTCCATGGATTGGACTTGTTTTTCCAGCACATCCCACAGATCCTTGATTGGATTGAGGTCTGGAGAATTTGGAGGCCAAGTCAACACCTTAACCTCATTGTTGTGTTCTTCAAACCATTCTTGAACCATTTTTGCAGTGTGGCAGGGTGCATTGTCCTGCTGAAAGGGGTCACTGCTATAAGAGAATACCGTTTTCATGAAGGGGTGTACTTGCTCAGCAACAATGTTTAGGTAGGTGGTACCTGCCAAAGTAACATCCACATGAATGACAGGACCAAATGTTTCCCAATAGAACATTGCCCAAAGCTGCCTCCAACAGCTTGCCTTCTTCCCATAGTAAAAAATAGGATAGAAAGGCAGATTTTTGTTTTCGCAAGCACTCTGGGTTGTGCCACTATGTAACACTCCTGGGTGTGTCAAATAACGTGTCACCCAAAGGATGCCATGGTCCCTCTTGTTGGTCACTGCAGGACATAGTGGCTAGCGGTTGGAACCGCAGGACCCAGGCTATCCAACACCCCTGGAAAAGTCAGATAGTGGCAGTGCCTGTAGCTCTTGAAGAAAATTAAGATTGGTCTTCCAACCCACCAGAAAAGCATTTATATGCTCTTTTTACAGGGTTCCCACAGTTTAGTTTTGTTGCTAAGGTGACTAGGTTGCTTTAAGATTCCTTTTAATCTCAAAATATTTAAATATTTTTTTTTATTATTCATCATTTTATGATAAAACCACTAAATGTATTTGGGCTGGTTTGGTTTACTAAAGGTGTTCTTTAGTAAATTGGAAGGAAGATTGAGCACAGTAGACTTTAAGGATGAATGAGCTGCAAAGTGCCTGCAGCTACCAGTAAGGCTTGAGTTAAAGCTCTTTTGTTACTTATTAAAATATGTAAATATTTAATCTCTATAGCTCGGCACAGTTTAACTTTTAAGGCTTTACATCTGTTAATTGACTTGATGTTTTGTGGCAATAAGGATATAAAAATTGGCAAGTCCCAATAAAGTATATAGAGGGAAAGAGCACGTAAATCATTGCTGTTCTTCAATAAAATTTCAAAGATGTGCAAAGAAATAATTAAAAAAAGGCAGCTTCTTTGTGACACAGTTGGATGTTTGACATGGACTTAGGTCACTTTGCACTATACCAACTTTACTAAGGCCGAGGTTCACATCAGTTCACACTTTAGTAAGTAAGGCTATAAATATGAACCTAACCTTACAACACCTATACTCAATGTTAGGTAGTAATCATATATATTTTTGGGGCCACTGAGGATTGCAAGTTTTAAAGCTCCTATAAACCAGAATTTCTTCCCAGTTCTTTTGTCATGCGAAAAGATCATAATTAAGAATACGTAACCAGAGTCGCTGAGCTGCTCTTTTTTTTTTTTTGGCCCAATATTTAAGTGTGTCAAGAAAAACAAACTAAACAGAAATAAATATAGATTTAGTGGGTTATAAATCAATATATTGGCATTCCAGTCATGCTCTGCAGGGCTGTGTACTAAATACGTGAGGCTTCAAATCCATGACTGATTTGGCTGTAAGCTTGCAAACAAGTCACAAATCAAACTTATTGTGCTCAGATCTCCCTGGCAGTGCCACTAGCCAAAGGATGGCTTGCCAATCTCCCCAATACAGTTCCATGAAAGACAGAGATGGGAATTGGCATCAATTGTTTACCATTATTATGGGGAAATTAATGCTAGAGCAAAGTGTCCACAGCTCGAAAGGTAGACATTGGATGTCACATTGGACGTCATTGGATGTCATTTACAATCTCAAAATGCAAATATTCCACTTGCCTATTGAAACCTAAACAGTGGTCTATATAGAGTGTTTAAACTTTAGGCATAGGTGAAGTTGTCATCCCCAATATTTGGAAAATGGCACTGGCACAATTTCAGCCAGTTTTGATAGTATTAACATTAGGGAAGCAATAATGGTTTCCAAGGTATCCAAACATTCGGGAAAGAATGATGGGTTTGAGATAGGATGAGCAAAACTCATCTTCTGTCCCTCAGAGTGGCAGACTCCTGAGACCAAACTTACACTTTTCATCTTGATAGTTATGGTACCTCCCTCCTGGGAGGGAAGTGGGTTGTTATATTATATGCTGAAAAGTTAACCACTATTGTACCACACCTCCGGAAAAAACAGACAGCTAGACCCTCATAACAAACACGTAAGTCATACATTTGATATACACCTTAAATCTCTCATTCTTTTTAAATGCCCCCTGTGGTACTGAGGAAACATGATTGCACCTCTGGCGCTGAGTTCTATGGCTTGAGTGGGAGGATGGCTCTATCTACGTACTACTACCACTGTAATAGATGGAGAAAGAGGTTGTTTAACCTCTTCCACTGACCTGTTTTGAGGCAGGAGTGTACTCTGACCACCAGAGGCATTACATAGTTACATAGAAGAAGAAAAACCTAAAACAGAACGCTGCCCACTGTTGCCACTGATGCCAGTGTCAAGAGTGAGTCCTCAGGGTGGACTTCTGTCAAAGGACTATTGAGTCAGTCCCTTGAGCATATCATCGGCATCCCAGGTGCCGTACAAATGCTAACAGACATCTGCAATGCAGGAGATAGAAATTTAGATGCAAATACAGCATAGTCATAATTGTTAGGGCGGGTGCTGTATGCTTTAATGAATGCAGAGATTACACATTAAGTGAAAAAATCCTATTTTCTCTTCTGTTCATTGAGGGACCCAGTTGGATCTTTATATCTTGACCGCTGGGACATCCCAGAGCAGTGTCAGAGGATGGGCCCAAACAGAAAACTAGAATAAGACAGAATAACACAACCCACTACCCCAGCACAGATGCTCACACCACTGCCTGTATACCTTGCAACCAAAACCTCTAGTCCTTGATGCCACAACGTCAACCTTATAGAACCTGGTAAAGGTGTGGACAGACAACCATGTGTCCACCTTACAAACTTGAGAGACAGAAGCATGACAATTAAAAGTAACCAGGAAAGGAGGTTCCCAACCTGGGATATGCCTGCACCACTGTCTGACAAATCCTACAGGAAATGGTGGACAATGAGGCTGCCTGCCTCTTCCAGGGGCCATCCATAAGAATTAAATGAAATGGAATAGAACCAGTAGCTTTCAGATAGACCCAAACAGCCCTGACCACATGCAAGTAATGAAGGGCCACATCTTTTGGGTGAGAAACAAATGGGTCCTAACTTCTAAGTGCTAGGCAAAAGACTAAGTTGATTGCTGCGTAGGAGGAGTTGGGTTGTCTTTTTGTGTGTGAGCCCAGGGATCGAACATGGAAGCTGTGGTCACTGTATAATAGAGTACTCTAAAGATAAAACAATGTGAGCGGGAACTTGGCGAGGTCTGTTCCTTGGAACATGGGTCATCATAGAAGAAAAGGTGAGCCCACAATTTCACTTTAATTGACGTATTAGGCCTATAGCCCAAGTCAAGTGAAGAGAATGACAGAATTTAATACATTTATTAAATTGCCAGACCTTTAGAACCTCTCTGTCATGGGGTTTGGTGGGCCTTCTGTGTCACCACAGTCCAAATTATTCACAAACGGATAAAAAGTGCTAGCTAGTCAAATAGGTATCAGTTCATTTTTAGCACTCTTGACGAGGGCAGGTGTGTGCTGCAGCATGGCCTGAGCTGCAGTGCCAATTAACCAATATGTATCAGAGGCTCGAAGCTGATCATCACACTCTACGGGCATTTATATCCAACAGTTATAATTCCTCTAAGAAAGCATAGGCTTGGTCCAGCGATGTCACGTGGAAGCGGGGAAAGCCCTTAGCTCTGTGCTGTCCTGACCAGAGCTTACAGTTCTTACTTATTTTCTCCATTTAGCTAAACACAGAAGCAGGAGAACAAAAGAACAGAGATGGCATGGAGCATTAAAGTAAACCTGTTGCGTTTTCCCTGTACGGCCAAAGTAAAGGTATGTTTCAATAAACACACACACATAGGTTGTGCAAGTCGATGGCACCTGGATTTCTTTCACCTATGAGTCTTGCATCTTCTCTTCTGCTCACAGTTCTTTAGTCTTCGTTCCACTGAAGATCTACTAATGAATATTCAGCATAGCCAGTGAAGGGATACATGAACATTATATAGCGTATTTAATATGGCATGGAATGACATTTGTGATTAAACCTTAGACCTTCTGCTAATGAAGAAACCGTCAGCCATTCATGCCGAACCCATCAAAGCTTCTGAAATGTCACAAACTGTTTCATGTTAACAGCTTTTGCCAAATACATGGTAAGAAAATAGAACATTTTAGCTGCATGGCAGAGACTGCCGAGTATTTCAGATTTTTACTCAGTATTAATAAGTCAAAAATGTAAAATGACTAGAAAAAAAAGAAAACATGTCTGGTATATTTATCCATAGCACATACCAGCTCTTTTGGACACATAGAAGGATCCCACTGTTCTTCAACAGTCTTCAGCAGTGCTAGCAGATAACTGTAGTCCATGGGGTGTACTTGGTGGTGTTTGCTGAAAGCTTGCCATTTTCTGTTAATTAACATGAAAGTAGGTCAAGTCATTTGAAAAGTTATATGGCAACATCCCAGAACACAGTCATTTGGGAAAGTTAATTTATGTATTGTGCACAATTACAGTTAAATCTGAAAACTCTTAAACTGAGCAGACATGAAGTATTATGGATGAAGCAGTGCTTAATACCATATCATTATTTTGTTGTTTAGGCTACACCCATACATCAAGAGTTAACTGTCTTGGTGCAATTTTTCCATCTGACCATAGAAAATCTGCAGATAATCAATGGGTGTATGGCTAGCTTTAGACTGGTCCCTGAAGCCTCTGTCTCTTCCACTGCAGCAGTCTAAGGTCCTGTAAATTAATCACGTTTTATACCCAGTGTAAAGACCTGAGGACACTGAGGAACTCTCCAATACTGTAGTGTGGGAGAAGAGAGGCTTCAGTGCTCGGAGAAGCAGGCAGCTGGCTCGGCAATTCCGGTGAGTATATCTTTTAGCACCAAGACAAAAACGAGCACTTAACCCCACTGCAAGGGTTTAAAAACCTTCTTTAAAATCAGGTGAAATAACATTGCTCAGACCTTCCTGATCTGCACTGTTATTAAGGGCCTATTCACACCATGTCAGACCAGATATGGATTCCTTTCCTCAAACTTCGGCATGCATGTTTGTAAAGTGTTTTTGATGCGTTCTGGTGTTTTTGGGTTTTTTTTTAGTCTCAGTTGGATTTCTAGTGCATTTTTAGTGCACTCCAGACCAGGAAAACAGTGACTGTGGTACAGGAACTGAACACAATGGTGGGAACTAGCCTCACTTTTTACCATAGTGATGAATGGGTATGCGTTTTTGGACCAGACAAAAAATCGTTCCAGTCTGGGTCTGGTTTGGAGATGGCATGAACATCCCAAAAATCTGCCGGGCAGCAATAATTCTCAGAATGAGATCAACAATATCACCGGTAAAATTTGGTTGAACAACTGTGAAGTTTACCAAGCTGTGACATGCATGCTGAGAGTTCTGTAGGGGCCAGATTTAGAAGATTGAGTCTGAATGCTCCAATAATTACTTCTATACTTAATATGTATTTCCTTTATACATTTCTTCCTTTTCAAACTGTTGTTTACATGAAAGATTGCTTTTAAAAGCTGCACTCTAGGAAAGCGCTATATAAATCACTCTATTATGTCCTAATCAAAGCAACTTGTGATGATGAGGCCAAATAGTTTGCACAGTAATAAAACCCCTCTGGTGTTTAGAACAGAATAGTGAGAGCACTTCAGGTGTTGCTGCTGAATCAATAAGTATCCAGTGTGCCCCTAAAGTGGACTAGATGGATGTGCCAGCGCTTTATTTCATATCACTGCAGTAGCTTAATCAATGGGCTCTGACATTTTCTCTCACTAGCTCTAGATGTCATTCAGAGGATTTAATAAAAGTTCCATGCAGTTCATTTGGAGTGTGAGCAGCTGAGGTAAGATATAGCTTCTGACAAGATAAATGTCAAAAGTTAAGAGGCACCTGGATAATGTTGTATCCAACAATAGGTTTATGTCTAGGAGACCACCCCCGGGATTTTTCACATATAAAACCTGCTTAGTTGTGCAGAGGTTTATTTCTCCTGATGGTTCCTCTTTTATCCCTTTTTATCCCTCCTTCCTTCTGGTTGGCTTTCCAGCTCCTAAACCATCTTATTAAAGTATATGATATATTCACTGAGGATATATTTTAAATTATTATTGCAGTAATTAAAGGAAAGGCATTTTTGTTGTAACTTTCATATTTTTACAAGGCTTCTGTTTTTAACATTATTTAAAGGTAGAGGTCTGTAGATTACCCACTAAGGCCAGAGTGGACTAGCCTTCACAGAGACTCTAACTGCTTAAAAGCCATATAGGGTATGCATTTTTAAATGAGTTGGTCAACTCAATGTCTTGAATTGTAAAAAAGGGTCAGTAAAACACAACCACTGTGTCATACTCCACAGGAAGAAGCAAAAACAGTCTATGTAATGAGTAACTTTGGCTTTCCATATGCACATATATAATATTCCAAACAATAGATAGAGACAAGGTTATTAACACGTTGATATAATTAATTACATCTATTTGATCTCTATAACATTATTAATCACACTATTGTGTTGCGTGTTATTGAATTGCACTTTATGTGCGTTGGTGCACTGCAGTGTCAAGTATTCTTAATGGCACCCCAACAGACCTTCACAATGCACCTGATTTGTGGTGCACGGCTTTGCTAAAAAATGGTACATGAGCTTTTTTTTGTGCATTTTACTGCGTTAGACAGCCAATTTAAATGAATGAGCGGCCATAATCCAGAGCATTTTAATGCTCTGTAGAGATGTAAGTAAATAGTCCCTCAAAAAAGATGATATATTACCTTCACATAGAAAAACTCCTTCTATCAAGGTTGAATGAGACCTTATGTATAAACCTGCAGAGTCTTTCACTGAACAGTAGCTGAGTATTATAGAACTGTTACAAGACAGATGTAAGTAAGACCGTATTCATTCACCTAATGCATATATGTTATATATACACATGTGAGAATATTGTAACTAATGGAAATACTCACATGACAGCCTGCTGTAGACTGGACAAGTCCATCTGCATACTGTGATGGGATGTAAGTGTGAATGCATGCTTGCTCATTTCTCCCCTCCAGTTCCAGAAATCAACCTGAAATGGAACAGTCATCAGTATTTCCATATTATGCCCAACCATGACGTTTTGCAGTTTCTTGTTTACTCCTTCAAAATATTCACACATACACCCCCATTCATTCACCCGAGATCACTGCAATGTTATGTGTCCCACCCACCAGCCTTTGCTCCTGTTGCAGCATGCCTGGCACTGATGGTGTTATTCTTCCTCTCAACATCATACTCAGACTTCTCCCCCTCTGGCCGGGTCTTCGGTTCTCCTCCCCACTCCACAGCGCCAAATGTTTTAGTTAAACCCTTCTTGAGCACCAAAAGATCTCTTATCTGCAAGCTGTCAACACTGGCATCTTTACAACCATTGGTTGTTCTCTAAAAATATTGGCATATTCCAGAGAATACCTTTGGTTCTCATTCACTTTCAGCTCTAGGACATAGTTCTATATCTTAGGCTCAAAGCCACTGCCTCTCATTTCATACGCCTTTAAATTTCACTCATATGTTTTCTTCATCTATATCCAGAATAGTCCATTCAATAGCTATCTGAGTTGTCTGCAATTCTGTTATTTCACTGTATCCTCTATATTACTCATACCATACACAGCAGGGCATACATAGCTCAGCAAATTAAGCATGTATCTATTTTATTTGCAGCAATTGTACATGTTGTATTCCTCTGGCTGTTCCATAGATCGGCTCACTTTTGTTAAAGTCTTTTTGACACTCCCTGATGCATTCTTGTGATTATGCTTTTGATAGTATCCATTATTCTGTGTTTAAATTGAGAGCCAGCAACAGATTCTATTTGTGTCTCAATAGAAAACAAAAACCATTGCTTTAATGTATGCAGTAAACTCAACCTGCTTGTGTTTGGACCAAATGGATTTCTTTCTGATATTTCACATTTTAATGTATAATGTACCTTTGGCTCGGTTCACAGTACAACCTGTCTCATTATAGTTATCATTATCATTTTGGTTCATATCTTATAAATATTCTTATGGGTATGGATAGACCCATAGGGGTATAGTTCTTTTTACTTCCTTTAACTAATGTCTCACAAATTATGTTATTTTCCTGTGTCTTTTTAAAAAAAAGTTCCTTGTTGCCCTGATGAAGGGGGAATTTGTTTGTTTCTCCCGCAAAACATGTTGGCTGCATTTTGTTGTGCATGCTGTCATCAGTTGAATGATTTAAAACACTTTTGACTCTTGAGACTTCTGTTTGGTATTCTCATTGACCTGATCACATGTGCATTTCTCCATTCAGGTAACCCCTCTTTTTCAAGGGAGTCCCCTGTTTTGTGGAGAGCTGCCAAGCCCAAGCCAACAAGAAAAGACAAAGGTCCCTTGTTGAGCCTAAACTGTATGATTTAATCAACATTTAAGATAACCTGTAGTGAGTAAGTATAGAGGCTGCCATTGTTGACCTCTCCTTCTGAAATGCTAGTGTCTTGGCTTTAATGTGGATGCTATGGCCCCTGTAATTTATAACTCCAAGGCTCAAGTTCTGATTTCATTCTGACCCACATGCTTGCTCCAGGTCAGTGGGGTTGATTTAATAAAGTAATGTAGACTGTTCACTTAGCAATAGTAAATGTTCACTTAGCTTAGTGAATACGGTGAAGCTGCATTCACTTTAGCCTTACATTATTTACTAAGCTAGGTAAACATTGCTAAAAGTGAATGAATCCATTTAGTAAACAAATCCTAATGCAGAATTAAGAAACAACAAGGCATCTAGTAGACATGTGCACTGGCAAAACATTTGTTTAGTTTCGATTCGGATTTTGTGTTATTTCGTTTTTCCAGATCCGGGTATGAAAGTCAATTCGGATTCGGACGAAATTAGTTAGCGGTAGTTCGTTCGAACGGTCGTTTCGTTTCTTATTCGTTTCGTTCATTCGTTCGTTTGTTGCAGCAAAATGACATTTGAGGGGAAAAAAAATGTTTTTCTCCTTCTCTAATGTAAATTTGCTGCAACGAACGAACAAGAAACGAAACAAACGTTCAAACAAACTACCGCTAACGAATTTCGTAAACGGAAAATTCGGATTCGTTTGCATTCGTTATATCTGTAATTCAAAATTCGGGTGCATCCGAATGTCAGAATTTCCAAAAATTCATCCGAATTTCGTTTCGGAACGGAATCACACATATCTAGCAATTCCAGGAGAAGATTAGCAATAGCGACCTCAGTATAACTTCTAATACAGGTTTCCTTTTATAGCATTGAAAACTAAATGGATAAATGAGGAGGACTGGGAGAACAGCTGTACGGTGATGCGGCAGGCAATTGGAGAAAAATGGGCAGATGCATTTAAAGGTGTAGCATACTGTAGTTTAAGGATTCTCAAGCAGATACCTCCCAGACATACTATTGAACGGTTCAGGGGGTACTTCTGCCGGATGCTGGTCTGTCAATGATCTAATAATAAATCATCTACTGTAGAACATATATTTAGTTCTCTTGATAGCACACTGGGTTTGTTTGCTAATCATTTATTTATCTATGGTGTTGGCTACACAGCAGTAGTAATAGACATTACACTGCTGTTTCTTTTTTTTCTTTATTCTGACACGGAGCTGTGTCAGAATAGAAACAACAACGTTTTTGCCCATTGGAATGCATTGCTAGATTCCTATTTGCTATTTCAATTTGCAATAGCCAATAGTAAACTAGCATTGTACCCGCCCTCTGCTGAAGTTCGGTCCCTCTGAGGGACCGAGCAGAACAGCTGAACCGAATGCCGCTCAGCGGCATTCGGCTATTCACTCACTGCTGTTCGGCATCTATAAGAATAGGCCGAACAGCAGTGAGTAGCCTGCCAGAGGTTCGGCTCAGCCGATCCAGATGTTGGATAGGCTGAGTCGAACTCCTTCTGCACTTCGGGTCAGCTGAACAGGCTGAGCATGGTCGGCCGACCCGAAGCCATGCGAAGCAAGCCGATGTACGGCGGATTTCAGCTGATATACGGCTGAAATCAGCCGTACAAGCCTGAAGTGAATAGCCGAATAGTGTTCGGCTCACTTCACTTGGGGTCGGTTGTTCACTCGGCTGCCCTCGGCAGCTTAGTGAATAGACCCGTTAGTAGCATTGTACAATCCTGTGCTGTTTCACAAGGCCTTGAGAAAGGTGTGCTGTGATTCGCTGAAAAGTCGTTGCACTAAAGTTACCATACTGTCCTCCTTGTTTATCTATGGGAGTCCTTTGAGTGCCTACAATACCTGTTGATATTGATATATATATGCCAGAGTGTCGCAATGACAACCAGGAACCCATTTGATCCATCAGTGTGCAGATGCAACTCCTAGCTATTAATCACACTTCTAAAAATAGCCTTAAAGCATATCTTCTAAAGCCAAAAGCAACATTTTCATATATTGCAGCATACATGACATGCTTTAGTTTCCTTTATTAGTCTTTTTTCCTTTATTTTCACCTGGCGATCAGGCCGGTTATGTTTTTAAACTTCGATTCGATAGAGGGTTGAGACAAACTATTTAGCAGTGACAGGGGTGCTTACAATGGTCAGCTTTTATTTCAAAAGGAAAAAAAATGTTGCTGTAACGGTTTAAAAAGTGTTAGCAGGAGTTCAACTTTAATTTGTTAGTCAAGTCCATTTATTTCTATCAGGCCATCTATTACTACCCTCCCTACCGGATGACAATGCTGCTGTCCATTGCTCCTCCATACAATGGAGCCATTCTAAGACAGGAAGGGTGTTATTGGCTGGATCACCAGGCAAAAAGAAAAAAAAAAAGAAAAAAAACTAAAGCAGACACCACATTAAGGATTGGTAAGCTGCAATATATTACATGATTGTGTTTCGGTTTAGATAATTTTTACATTGAAAGACACAACTTGGTAGGTTGCAAATCTTGCTCCAGTTTTAAACTAGCTAGAGAAAAAACACCTTCCTCCCTAATACAGGCATTGTACCCTTCAGTGATAACACTCAACAACCTTCTGTTACTTATATCTAAAATGGTAACAAATGCAGAGGCAGCATCTTGTTAAGTAGACATGCACTCACCTCTGCCTGCTTATGTTCATACCGGAGCAGCTGGGTGAGCAGCATTTCATGAATCACCGAGCCAGATGCCTTCTTGCTTAGCACCGTGTCCCTCTGAAACACATTTGTTAATTCAGACATTTACACCATGCTATTTGTTTTAATACTGCTGCAATTGAATTACAGCTGAGACCTGTTTCCTGGCAAAGTACATGGATGAGGAGATTGGGCATTTAACACGTAGATCAAATCATTTAGTACATTTTTCAGACTGCGACTGTGACACCGAAAACAGCATTAAGAAACTCAAATGTGCTGCTCATGTGGAATATAAAGGCTTACGCTTATTTTTTTTATCAACTGTTTTATATTGTTTTGTTTTTTTTTATGCACGGGTTCAGGGCACATAACATCAGAATCATATGTAGAACAAAGACAGCATAAACAATAAAAGTACATTAAAGCACAATTCCCATAATAAAATACTCCAACAATTCGGAATACCATACGGCGGTGTTGTATCTTTCCCTTTAAGTTATAATATAACTCAGAAATCAGTAATGCCATCTCATAAGCCAAAGTCAGGAGACATGTGCACTGGTATAGAAAACAGGCTTACATTTCTTTTAAAACCATCATATCAATAATCCTCCATCCTTCATCTTAGACTTTCAAGCTGTAAAACCCAAATCGCATGCTAGCAAAAAATCCTGCCTAATTTTTTATTTCTCTTGCACCGGATTTGGTGTCCTAAGTGAACAGAGCTTCACATTATTCATTAACATACACTTTCCAAAGTGTTTCCAGTTTTGCTAGATAAACAGCCTCTATTATTTTAGGCCCCTTTCACATGGGCATTTGTTAGTTCCGATCAGCAGGGGATATATGCACGGATCCACTGCTGATCAGAGCAGTACAGATTAGATGTCACTGTTGTGACATCCGTGCCCGTCAAGTTTTTGCGATGGGGGAAAAAACTCAACTTTTATACCCATGTTAGGTCTATAGGTCTAACGGACATGTGTCATCAGATCATACATCAGATTCGTCACGATCTGGTCCGCCAAAACAGAACTCTGTTACGTTACGTTCTGCCTCTGCACTTGAGAGAAGAAAAATGGCTATAGACTTGTGTCCAAAATCTGGTCATGAAAGAGAAAAATACTCCAGACAAAAGTGTTTTATATACGGCATTCCTCGCTCCCAGTCTTACAACGAGGTAAAATCTATAAATGGTATTTATTCCGTAATGGTGTGACAAACAGCTTTTGTTGTGAAAACACAACATCAACTCATACAGAGTTTCTCTCTGCCAGTGCCGGGATAACTACCTTGTATTTTCGAAGCATGGAAAGTTTAATTAGACAGTCCCCAATCCCCCTGAGATTATCACAAAGAGCTGATATTTCGAACTGTTCCATTTTCTTGTCAATCCTGCTGGAAATAGCAGCAAGAGGGAGAGGCAGCTTCTATTTCTATATAACTATTAAGCTATTTCTAATGGCTAACAGTTTTACTCAGAATCCACTTTAACAGGTTTCGCACAACTACGAACAAACTCTGGCTGAGGGGTTAGAGTAAGTAATTGTTCCTGTTCAGTTGATCACTACAGGAATAGTTAGTATCTATATCAATACTGGGTCCCAACAATATCAGGGCAGAGTTGTAGTGCAAATTTAGCAGTTAATTACATAAGGCTGGAAGATCAATGTGACAGCCACGAGCTATCAATTTCCAAACTGTGTTTTCTTTTTTCAGTTTCTTCTCTTGTCTGGCTACAACTAGTCATTATAGGTAAACAAAATGTAGAGGAGAGGGAATGCAAGGGCCATTGAGAGGAGACCAAAGTGTCTCTGCATGTCAGGCATGAAACTATATCCTATGTATTGGTGGTTTCTAGACTTGTTGAAAACGTTGCATACAAATTAAACAGTATGCTGCCTCCAACAGAACATTCTTGTCTTAGTTTATTCTAGTAATCCCATGACAAGATTGTGGATGTCATCATTCGTGAGCGCACGACAGCTTGGTGTATAAACACAGCCTTGAATACTAAGACATTTTCAGTGACAGAAACTCAATATAATTAACACCTTCTCTTAAAAGTCTACCTACATTTGCCTAGGAAAAGTATTGGGCACTCTGCATAGCATGTACCATAAGGTTCCAGCTTTCTGGAATGGGAGGGGTGTCAAATTTTGCCTGGGGTGGGGTTTTAATATAAAAGCAGCCCTGGAACTAGATCTTTAAAAACAAGTAAGCAATGCAAATTCCCATATTTTTGAAGTTGGACTTGATGTACCTAGAAAGAATAAACAGTTCTCTGAGCCACAGAAGCTTTACATTGTCTATTTATGCACCAGAAAATATAAATTTGCAGCTAATATCAGAGAAGGAGGTGACATAGAAAAATGTATTTGATAAAAATAGGTAGATGCCTATAAAACCTAATGCATTTAAACAATGTAAGAAAACACTTCAAAACGTAAAATAACACAGAGAGAGAATTGATCTGAAAAGCTATATTAGGGTCCAGTATTCACAGGTGAAGTGGTTTTCACATGGCTTTAAATTAAAGGCAAGCAAGCTGTGAGTGTGGTCCACAAGTAGTGTCCCTATACTGTTTCTCAATACCCCTGATGATAAATAAAATGTACAGAGGCTCATGCATATAAAAAGAGCAACCCCACTAATAATTGATTTCTCAGTTTTGGGCCAGGTGTGGCAGAGCTTGATTCTTGTTTTTCAGTTTGATTTTTACTGCCATCCGGGACCTTGTGATGTGACAACCTAAGAGCTTAGCTGCAGACAAACTACTTAGGTTACCCGCCTGTGAATATTCTTTTTGAGAATCCTTTAGATTGTATCCACGTCCTCTTGCCCCCTCACAGTGAAGCCCGTCCGCAGTGCGGGGCCCCGCGGCCCAGTACCATTTGATCCACGGACCGGTACCAGTCCGCGGCCTGGGGGTTGGGGACCACTGCTCTAAAGCATTCTCCATTGGAGTATATAAAGAACTAAATATGACTAGTGACGAGAGTACCTCATCTGAAACCAAGCTATTAGCCTAGCTATCAGAACCAGTTAGTCTATCCCTGGCACAACCTATTTAGTAATTTTGTATTTAAAAGACAACTATTACAAGAAACACAATATTTTGAGAGCTGTATGAATCTATAAATGTAATTACATTACTTTAATGCCGCCGAGCGGCATTTGGCTTGGCTGTTCTGCTCGGTCCCTCAGAGGCACAGCGCAGAACAGAAAAAGAGTGAAAAAAGTCGAAAAAAGTTAATAGAAAACGATTGTGCAGAGCTAGCAGTGACAGCTAGCTCCGCCCAATAGTTTCCTATTGTCCGGCGGCTCTGCTGCTGTAAAAAAAATAAAAATCTCCCGGGCGCTCTGGGAGCCCCCGCTCCCGATTGCCAAGAAGAGAAACCCCGCTGTGTCTTTTTTTTCTTTATTCTGACACGAGCGATGTCAGAATAGAGAAAAAAAAAAAGACAAATTCTCATTCAAAATACATGGG